GCAGAGAGAGCGGAGAGGGCTGGCCAACTTCCTGCACCTGAGGGCGGGAGATGGCACTGAGCAGCACTGAGCAAATAGAAGCCTTTGATCGTTGGACTTGCCACTGAACACAGGGCTGTTGCTCAGGGCTCCTGCGCAATCCACAGAGCTCCCTCGCCTGCAGCCCCGTGAAAAGCTCACCCCCCTCTTGGCGGCTGGGTGCGCAAGTGAGAGGAGCTGAGCTGGGGCGAGCGCCAGAGCACATTCATCGGACCCCCCGCCAAAAGCGAGTGGACGAAAAGTTGGGCAGGTCCAGAGAAGAGGGCTGGCAAAGCAGCAAGCATTCAGGTGTCATGAGCGTCTTTAAGCTTGGATAGGAGGAGCAGGTGGAAGTGTCTGAAGAAAGTCCTTCTTTGCAGAGTTAAACTATGGAACTCCCTCCCACTGGAGGGATGGCCAACAACTTGGGTGGCTTCAAAAGAGGGTTTGACAACTTCACGGAGGAGGAGAGGGCTCTGCTCCAATTCCACAGCGATGCTTCAGAATACTGTAGGGGCATTATTGCAGTCAAAGCGACAAGTCATGCTTTGGGCAGATGGGAACATGAAGAGTCGGAGGCTCACAGAGCTTTCCTGTCACATTTGCTAGAGAGAACTTTGTGAGATGACTTCGTCTTTCTTCGCCACGCTTCCAAGCTGACCGCACAGGCATGCCTGAGCTCTGCAGCTCAGACGCCATTTGCAAACTTAAATTTTTCCTTTTGCAACTTAGACAGCAGTTATAGCACTGCCTTCATTTTGCTGCTGCAATGGCCGCTTCTAGACCCTGTGAGTAAATGCTCCTTAAGTTCTTATGAGGGCACAGCCAGTGTTATTCGTGTTTCGCCCTCTGCTCTTGCTGCCAAGTGCCCCAGAGTCTGTCCGCCTGGAATCAACAAAAAGGGATCTGTTTCTCTCCAATAGCTGCTTCAGGCAGGCTGTTGTTATCTGGAGAGGGAACTGAGAAAGGGGAAGGTTCTTTGCCACTGCATTGTATTGGACTTGCGGGAAACAGATCACACGTTTCGGAGAGGAAGTGAGCACATCAAAACTTTGGAGAACTGAGAGGTCAGGCAGAAGCAAGAGCTGGTGGGGAAATCCTGGTGCTCTAAGAACAGGGCCCCAAGCGGGGGGGGGGGGGAGAGAAATAGCCGCACCAAAGATGGAGCTGAAACTCCTGAGAGCGACACAGCCAGGAGGTGTTGCAGAGGCCAGTGCCATTTTGCAGTGCACCCTGGCAGCAGCGAGGCGGCAGCAGCAGCAGCAGCTCCCAGCCTTTTGCAGCCCCAGCTGGGATCTGTGACACGCAGGCTCAGCCCCCCAAAGCCCCCTGCAAGCATTTGGCTTGCACTTGGAGAATTCGCAGCCGGTCTGGGCAAATATTGCAGAGAGTGGGCGAGATGAGAGGCGGCATGTGCAGCTCAGTCGCAGCAAGCAACGTGGAAGGAGAGCGACGCTGCATTTCTGTGCACAATTGTATAGTTGGAAGGGACCCAAAGGGTCGTCTCACACACACACACACACACACACCCCGCAATGCAGAGGGCTTAAGAGGGGCCAGAGCAGCACATGGTCCCTGGAGGGAATGGCTGCACCCCCATCACCTGTTCTACTACCTGTGCACTTTCAAAACCAGAGAGGGAAAGAATGGTCAGTCTGCATTTCTTAGTACAGAAAGTATTGATCCGATGTGCAGAGATCGTTCCTCTTCTGATTAATTGAATAGGATTCTAGAAGGTTTCTATGTGAAAGAAACAGGAAGGTTTCTGTTGTTTGGGTTATATTTCTTCTGGGAAGCTGAGTACAGCTGGTTTAAACTGGCTTTGTTGTCCTTTTTGTCATGGTCATACTGGCTATTATAGTCAGGCCAGGAGGCAGCCTGGCTCTCACTCATTTTTCTTTTCTTTGTTCTGGTGTTCTGTATGCTGTAGTGTGAAGGTTTCATCTTATTACAAGTTTGTAAGTTTTATTTAAGTGCTGCAACTGGATCTTTATGGACTGTGCCAATCCTGAATGTTTTGGATTTGTGACCATTATGCTCATTTCCCTTCGGTATCAGTAAAAGCTCTGCTGGATGAAGTACAATTGCCTTTGGAAACTCTGCTACATGTTGAAGTTCTTCCCTGCTCCCCCTTCATGGGCGACAAGGACCTGTAACCTTCCTGCCATGATGGCAGGAGTCTTTCGCCACCAGCAGCTTTTTCTTCCCAAGTCTCTGGAAAACCTCCAGCCAACTTCTCTTGCCTGTCCCCAAACCCAGCCTTGCTCCAAAGCAACCGAGAGCCTGAGCTCAACCACGTTGCTTCTCTGTCTACACAAACTGATGCTCTGAGTATTCATGGTTCAAGGCAATTAAGTTTCCAGGACAGAGTCCCAGTAATGACCCAGAGGAGGAATCTCATCCTGTGGCCTCTTTTGCAACAGAAAGGCAGTGGAAATGCTAAATCTGGATGTCTTGAAAGAGGCTGAAATAGCTCATCAGTTTCAGAACAGTCTGTTCCTGTCTGGCTTCTAAACAGGTGGGGAAGAGCTGACCATCTTCTGTTGGAGGCAGGAGTCCTCTGCATTGAATGTTTCCCCTTTCTGTCCAAGGAACAGCTCAGCCCCCCAGAGATCCAGGCACTCACCAAGAGAAAACTTCACCTCCTTAGCTTCTTTCCTGACTGCAAAGCAACAGGGAGGAGGCAGCACTGCAGAAGTCGATCAGCGCTCCCACGGGAAGAGGTGGGCAAGCGGCGGCTCTCCGGTGTAGCCGGCAGGAATAGAACGAAGCCCACCCACCCACGTGGCTCCCGGACAGCTGCCTGTCAAGGCAAGAAAGGTTCTCCAGGCATCTTTGTGGTGGCCTTCAACTCTCCCTCCAGACAGAAATCACACTGCAAGGCTTCTCTCGTCTTTCTTTGGCTGTTACTCTCTAAAGCACCACATTCTTGTGTTGTTTAAATAATAAAGCGGTTCAGCCTGAACTCAATCACAGATGCTCCAAAAGTGGTCCATCTATGCAAGAATCCTGCTTTTCATAGAAGATGCTAGCGCCTTAAATGGTCTTGAGCTTCCTCCGAAAGTCATGACTTGCTCAGCAGGCAAGAACATCCAGTCTGCCCAGGCAGTGTCTGCTGAATCTCCCCTGGGTGTGGGGCTCCCACTGCCCCTCTCAAGCCTCCCATTCAGAGAAACTAAAGACACACTAAACGCACTGCCTATTTTGCCACTGGTGCCAGAAATACAGATTTTGCTTTCTTTGTCACAGGACTAAGTCCTCAAGGATCTTCTTTCTTTTTAAAGCTCAGCTAGTCCGATCCCTTGTCCCTCAGGGTTGGGCCTGCATCTTCTGGCCCCCTGAAGGAAGCGTCAGTTTGCATTTCTTCGTGCAGAAAGTATTGATCTGATGTGCAGAGATCTTTCCTATTCTACTTAATTCAAGAGGGTTGTGGCAGCTTCTCTGCGTGAAAGAAACAGGCAGAAGGTTCCTGATGTTCTTCCTTCAGAGATGCTGAGTACAGTTGGCTTAAACTGGTCCTCTTATCCCTTCTGTCAAGGTCATGCTGACTATAATAAGAGGCCAGAAGGAGCCTGGGTTTCACTTTCTCTTTCTATCTCTCTTCCTTCTGGTGTTCTGTACATAGTATGCTGAGTGTTATAGTTTAGACTTATTATAAATTATTGTAAGTTTAAGTCTGTTGCAACTGGATTTCTTATCGAAAGGGCCAATCCTGAATTTTTTGCATTTGTGACCATTTTGTGACCACGAGATGTCAAAGCGATAAACAACTACCTGACATTCAGAAGACATCTTAAGGCAGCCCTGTTCAGGGAAGTTTTTAACGTGTGATATTTTAGTGTATTTTTGGTTTCTATGGAAGCCGCCCAGAGTGGCTGGGAGGCCCAGCCAGATGGGCGGGGTATAAATAAATAATAATTATAATTATTATTATTCTGCTCATTTGCCCCCAGGAGCAGTAAAGATCTGCTGGATGAAATATTAATTGCCTCTGGTCTATTTTTTGGGAATCCTGCAACGTGTTTAAGTTTTCACTCTGCTAACTATATGTTGGAATTTGCTCTGGATCAATACTGAGTAGAATTTCATGACACGAAGGAAGCCTCTTGGCAGCTCTTGCATAGACAAGGCGCCTGGATGATGCCTGAAAGCCAACACTCTGACCTAGCAAGGAACCGCCAGGAGGCAGGATTCTTCCCCACCCGCAGGAAGCTGGGGACAAGTGTCAAGGGAATGACTTGCCAGGCGACAGCACACTTCTTCACACGGCACACAGGTAGCTCACCAAAGAGCTGTTCCACCAGGCCTTTGGCCAAGGCACAGCCTGACCCCCTCCTTTCGTAATCCTCACAGAACTCTAGCCCAATGGTTGACATGAATTGGATCTGAACTGATTTTAGAATGACTTGATTTTAGAATGCTGTATTATTTTACTGTTGTTAGGCACTCTGAGCCCGGCTTCGGCTGGGGAGGGCGGGATATAAATAAAATTATTATGATTATTACTATTAAAAGGGAGAACCAAGCACATGCATAGAGGAATTTGGCTGCGGATGGTTGCTAAGCTCCCTCAGGAGATGGCAGGATGCTTCAATGGACCAGGTGCTGGGGAAGGCGACGGTTGGGAGACGACGTGTTGGCCGCCGTGGGGATCAGGAGGCCGGACGAGATCCGGACGGGCCTTGGGTCAAATCCAGCAGACGACCCAAGGCCAGAAGCCAGTTGGTGCTGGGTGGCCCAGCAGTGAAGGGCTCTGGAATCGCCCTCCATTTGGGGTTGTGATGGGAAGTGTCTCACCTTGGGGATGGACACCCTCTTTGGGGGGCTCTCCCCAGGCCCACCCCTTCTGCAACGAAGGCTGCTCCATGAAGGCTCAAGGAACAGGCCCCGAGGCCTCTGGGGGAGCCTGAAGAGGCAACGGCTGGAGCCTGGCCTGCACCTTCAAGAGGGGAGGTCCAGTAAGAGGGGCTGGAGGCAGGAGGTGCTGCTAAAAGGTCCTTTATTAAAGGTTACACGGATCGCTTCCTGCCACAGCGGCACATTAAACAGGGATTAAAAACCGCGACAGTAATAATTGTGGTGATCCAAAGAGCGGTTTTATCTTACATCCATTGACAACAACTACACGGCGTCTAAAAGCAGGTCTGAGAAATACAAGGTCTGTTATTATACAGCTGTACAAGTGCCAAGAGGGGAAAAAATAGAAAAACACCCCCCCCAATATACAAATAGAATCCCCCCTCAACATGCGGCTCTTGGGTGTTTCTTTGAGGGCCACAGCACACAGAGGGCGGGGGCCGGGTCATCCGCCATGGCAGTCGGCAGCTTGGCTTCTTCCTGCACGGTTCCTAGTGCAAAGTTATTTCCAGTGGGTGGGTGTGTTCACGATGGTTGCACCAGGAAAACCTCTCCCTCCCTGCATGGCCCAAAAGCAACACTGGGGGAGGGAGAAGGGGGGGGAGACTCCCAGGACAAAGACTTGGCGCAGAAACAGAAGAGGATGGAGGATAAGGCGGCCCTGAGAGAGAGGATGGTGCTCAGGTGGGCAAAGGGGGGATTTTTGGTCAGTGTTGTGCTTGTCTGGGGTGGGGGGTGGGGACAGTGACGCTCCTGCAGCCCCCTCCTGCTTCCACTCGGACCCAGGCTCAACCAGGCTCCGGGCAAAACACAGCTGACCTTGGGCTTTCCTGCCCACCCAAAACCAGCAAAGGCTTCAGGCTCACCAACAGGTTGGACTCCCAAGGAATCAGCCTGGAACAAGCAGCTGCTCACCTTCCTCCTTGAAATCTCCTCTGCAGAACGTGGACACCCCCAACCCCCCTCAGGCCAGGAGTGTCTGGCCCACCTTGGCTTCGTCTTCCTGCCCACGCAAGAGAATAGCGTTCTTGCTCCGCAGCGCCAACCCCAGAGGAGCAGCCATGACGGAGGCAGGCACCCCAAGTCCAAGACCCCCCCCCCCTCGCTCTGGCTCTCTGCCTTCTGCTGAGGGTCCAGACAGGTCTCCTGCGGCCGGCAAAGGGGCCGACCGAGACGCGAGGCTCCTCCCCGGGTCAAAGAGAGCGGGCGGCTGCGCTTTCCGCACACGTTGGCATCAGTCACCCAAGAAGGGTGGAAGCGCAGGAGGGCTCAGCTCCCTTCCTCCGTGGAGCGCGACTCCGACTTCAGCTTGACGAACTCCTTGGCCACTTCATCGTTGGTCCTTTGCGAGAGGATCCTCAGGACCGTCAGCCCCGTGTCGTCCATGTGGACCCTCCGCCCCAGCGGGCACCAGCAGGCACAGCTGCCCTTGTCGGCCACGTCCCGGAGCTGCATCACGGCAATGCCCAGCACACGGTCCTCGCGGGCAAAGCAGTAGTCCTTCACGCACACCTGCAGCTCGTAGGCGTCCGGCCCGTCCTCATTCCCCAGGATGCTGCAAGAGAGCGAGGGGACGCCCCGTTAAAACTCTGGCAGGGAGACGGGGTCCCGGGACCAGGAGCCCCCCACCCCAGTGGAAAAAGTCCTCATGGAAGTTGGCATCTTCCTCCTGAGCTCCTGAGCCTTCCTCCTGCCAGGAGGGCTCTTGTTTCGTCTCGTCATATTCAGTTTTATCGCTTTGGTAAAGGCTAAGAAACACTGTGCCCATATTGCGAAGGCCACCCTGCGCTTGCAGGGCGAGAGGCGAGGGAGATAAGGGCTGTGGGATTCCTGCAAGGCTGCCTCTGCATGGCCTGATCCTGCATTTCCAGGCTGCGGGGCTGCTTGCCCGTCTCTTGGCCCAGTTGGGGAGAGGACGGGAGGGAGACGACAGGACTTACAAGTGGAATGTCTCGTTGTACTTGGGGGCCCAGTTGTTGCTCTTCGACTTGGTGGTGAATTTCCGCTTCTTGTCGCTCTGGTGTGGCCCAATCATGGTCACCTCCACGAAGGGGCGGAACATGCCCGAGGTCTGCCACTTCAGGTCGTTGGCTGCCACCACTGCGGGAGGAGAGAAAGAGGCTGGGGGAGAGGGCCGGCTCAGCCGCTCCACACACCCTGGCCAAGCCAGAGAGGGCAAAGTGGGTCTGGACTCACCATACGCAACAAGCAGCAACCCGAGAGGCTGCCCAAGGCATAAGCCCAGCCCCTCTTGCCCAGCTCAAAGCACACACTCTCATTGAAGCTTCTTCCTCGGCCGCTGGCTGCCCTCCCACAGACGCATCTTCCCCACACCACTGTCCTGACCAGGGAAAAGCTCTTTCTGCCATTTGGGAAGCTCGTGGACCAGTATATGGCTCTGCAACTTTAGAGACAGCTCAGCCTGTCCCCAAGGGCAGCTGGCCTCTCCACTTGCAACGAAGCCCAACCGCCCATCAGCTGGGCAAGTTTCTGAGCCACGCCCACAAAAGGTTGCTCCGAAATGGAGCCCCCGCCCTGGTGAGTAACAGTCCTGCAAGCCTCTGGGGGCGATTGGGGGGGGGGAGAGAGCAAGGCGGGCAGCCTGTTCTGCTCAAAGACTCACTCCGTGCCCGCCTGGATGGCCAACTCTCCAGCACAGCGGCTGCGTTGACATTTCCGGGGTTGCCAAGAGACCTGGCCTTGCTGCCAGACCATCAGAGGAGCGGGTGTGTGTGAGTGTTTGGTTACCTTTCACCGTGACCTTGTGCTCCCCGGTGCCGGGGTGTGTGTACAAGTCGATCTGAATGGACACTTCGCCCACGGGGTCGTCCACTCCTGAGCCTGGGGGGCAGAGAAAGAGAAAGAGCGCCACAGACGGCATTGGCATGTGCCTAAAGTCGGGGGGACGATGACTGCATCCCGTTGCCCAAAGACTCCCCCCCCCACGCCTCTGCTCTCTTCCCCCAATGGAGAGCTCCCTCCTGCCTTTATGTTTTGAAGCCTAGTTCTCCGCTATCTTCTTTGGACTGGATCCCTGCTCTCTTTCCTCCTGCCCAAAGCACAGTCAGCCCAGCTCTAGGCAGGGGGCCTGGCTGCCTCTTGCCCCCTGGAGGGGCTGCTGTTCCCCGGTCAAGAGCACCTACTGGCTGCCGATCCACAGCCCCCTTGGAGGCTTCTCCCTCCTGCTCCTCACCAACGCTTCCCACCACTGACGGGGGTTTGTGTGTCTCTCTCAAGGCATTTTCGCACCAAAGGGACCCAGTCGAGACAGTGGGTGGGCACTGCGAAAGCAGGCAGAGGCGCTGGCTCAGAGCTGCCACATGCTCAACACTTTGGTTCCTGGAGACTGTCCTCTCAGACACACAACATGAAGGCCATGGCAGGGCCAGATGGTGTGTTTTGGGGGGGGGGGCTGCCAGGTGGCTAAAACAGGCCCTCTGGGGTGGCAGCTGTGTCTCCGCAAAGCAGGGTTTCCAATGCACACCCTTCACCTGGCGCTTTGGGTCTAGTACGGCATTTTAAAGGCTCCTGCTGACTATGAAACTGAGTGAGGTGGGAGGCGGATGTGCGGAGAGCAGTGGCGAAGCCTCGGGAGCAGAGAGAAGCTCTAACCTCCCCCTGCCTTTCACGGCCCCCGCCTGCTCCTGGGAGCTTGAACCCATCTTAACCATACAGACTCTTTAGATTTGCAGAAAGAGCTTCAGCCGAAAGCCAAGCCTTCATTGGACTGTCCATCACGGTGTCGCAAGAGGCGAACTGTTCGCCTGGGGTCCAGAACTGAGACCATCTCAGTCGGCTGCTCCACAGTGCACTCGGTGCATGCTCAGAGGAGACTTCCACCGTGCAAAGTGTGAAGCATCTATTTCTCTCACCACGACGGCTGTTCGAACATCCAGAGCTGCAGACTTCTGCCATCAGGCTGACAAAACTCCCCAGGGAGAGCACACACACACACCCCTCCCCGGAGGGAGATTGCAAGGCGCACGCCACAAGATGCTACGAGGCGAGTGGTCCAGGAGGGGAGGAAAGGCCTGGGGGTGCTAGAGGGGGGCAGAGAAAGGCCAAGGGGGGGTGAGGGTGGGGGGCTCCAAAGCGCAGCAGGTTTGCAGCCGGCCAATGTTGTCATGGCAACATTGGCCTGGAACATACCCTTATCAGGACGGACATCCTCATTAGCCGTAAACCTAATCCCTTTCCCACCATGCACTGGGGCAAGCAGCAGGCAGGACGGAGAGAGAGAAGAGTTTGGTTACCACTCGACCAAGATGACAATGCAGAAACCCACCGGGGCGGAGAAGGCAGGGCTGGCCGTGGGAATGGGCTCAGAGGGGAGGGAAGGGAGCTCCTCTCCGTCGGAGGCTGAGCATCGAGGGGGCCCTGGAGCCCTAAAACGGGCTGCCTTCAGGGCTCAAGTTGGAGAAGGGGGAAGGCTCCTTGCTCTGGCTGCAGAGGAGGGAAAGCTGGACCCTGGCCTTGCTCCGGCCGGCCCAGAGTCCTCTGGATGAGATGAAGCTCACTTCTCAGCCCCTGAACAAAGCAGAGCCCCCCAGCTGGGACTCCCAGGCAAGCCCTGGGGGGCTGGTGCAGGGGCTCAGGAAGGGGGTGGGGTGGGGGTGAAGCCCACCCCGGGTGTCATCCCTGAGGGGGTGACAAAATGGCACACTGAGAGGGGCGACACTTACTGTGGGGCCTGGCCTGCAGTGCGCCCGAGCCACACGTCTCTCCCAGGAGTGATGCGGTGGCTTGGGCAGCGTGGGGCTTGCACCCACCAGGCGGACTCTGTGGGCAGCTCGGTCGCCATGCTGCCTCCGTGCGCAGATTGGCCCATGGCTCTGGGTGCCGAAGCAGCTAGCTACACCCCTGGGCTAGTGACCCGTTCCACTTTGGGCCAGGCCAGGCCAGGCCGGCTCTCTCACCCTTTCACTCAGCCTCGAGTCAAAGAAGCAGCAGCCCCTCCCCTCGGCCTCCCCAGGCAGGAGCCAGAGGCAAAGGCAGCTGCAGAGCTGAGCTGAAGGAGGCCAGGCATGCGCCGTCAGGAGAACGGAGAGCATCAAAGGACCCCTGGTGCAGGAGTGGCCCAAGGTACCTTTCTTACCCCCAGCAGAGGCCCCACACGCTCCAAAGGGGATCCATCTCCCCCCTCACACTTTGGATTGAGGGGCCCCTTTTGGACAGTTCGCTGTCCAAAGAAAGGGCTCTTGGGTTGCTTATGCACTCGGGCTGACCCCAGACAAGAAGCGCTCAAGGGCCTGGGAATCAGCTCCAGGGGCCACGCGGCTGGCTCTGCCAGGACGGAGTAGCAGGCAGGGACCACCCAAAACTACCCCCTGGGGCATCAACAGGGAAGACAAGGTGGGCATGCATTCCCTCTCTGCTTTTCTAGGGTTCAGCTGAGCTTACTCCCCGGACTGTCCCCAGAACATGGCTGCGCACGGCCTGCTCTGGTGAGCACATGCCCTTTTGAGGAAGGGCGCAAAGAGGCAACTGACAGAGGCCCCCCCAGTCCTGCCCCATGGCGCCTCTGCTGCCTCCCCCTCCCCCGCCTGAATGAGTCTTGTGCAGGATCCTCACCTTGCGCCGTCTGCGTCTGCACGAAGGTCTTGATGAGCGTGTCGGTGGTTTGCGTGTAGAGGGACAGCGCATAGCGCAGAGACTGCAGATCTGAGCTCTTCTCCAGAAAGGTCTTCTTCAGGCCGCTTCCCCCGGCGTGGAAATATTGCTGTGGAAAAGAGGCAGTTGGGGGGGAGCGTGATGGCTGGGGGCTCGGGGGGGGGGTCCCCTGTGGTCCCAGAACACTCTAAGGGGACCCACCAGGCAGCGTCACAACATGAATTAAGGAGCATGACTTCATGACATCTTTGGTTTACAGAAAGTAGTTTTGTTGGGTGTCACATCAGAGGGGATGAGTTGAATAACATTTATATATAGCTGACAGACAAAGAATCGGAAGTTCCTTGTTCTCTTAACTGTAACTCCCCCCCCCCTTTTCTCCTCCCTTTGTCTCTCTTTCATTATTTCCTCTTTCTCTTCCCTTCTTCTCCCTTCTCTCTCTCTCTCTATTTGTTTTTGTCTTTCTTCTCTTCAGGGTTTGGGTCTTTACTTAGATTAACATTTCAGTTTTGATAAAAAAAGAGAAATTGGATAATAATCTTCGTATCCCTTTTCCCAAATGCTAATAAAAAAATACAAAAAAACAAACACGCAACTGGAGGCTGGAACCCCCGTTTTCCCCTTCCTGACGGGCGGCTTCCTGAATTAAATGGGCCCTTCCTAGCCCATCAACGCTACGGACATTTTCTCCTGCAGTCCTTGTGGGATTTACAAGGAAGGAGGCCTCACTGCCTCTTCTCTCTGCCTCTAGGCAAGGCCCTTCTCACCAAAAACTAGACCCCTTCCTCCCCTTTTGGGCCATACATCTCAGAGGCAGAAGGAAGAAGCAGCCAGGGACCCACCTGCCCTGCTCCTTCGGCCACAGGGGGTGGGGACCCCCAACTGGCTCTCCCCCAAGCCCACGAAGGAGACTCTGGAACTGAGTGGTCCAGAAGATGGAAGGAGGAAGAGCTTCTCTCTCGGCTAGAGGAAAGCCTAGCACAGTCTGTCTTACAGCCATCTCCCTTGTGGACTGAGAAAGCAGCTAAAACAAGTATTGCTCTTAAATTGGCCTTCAATCTCTAACAACAACAACACCAACACCCTGCCCATCTGGCTGGCTCTCCCCAGCCACTCTGGGTGGCTCCCAACGGAATATTAAAAATAGAATCAAACATCAAAAGCTTCCCTAAACAGGCTTGCCTTCAGATGTCTTTTGAAAGTCAGATATTTATTTCCTTGATATCTGGTGGGAGGGTGTTCCACAGGGCGGGTGCCACTACCAAGAAGGCCCTCTGCCTGGTTCCCTGTAACTTCACTTCTCTCAGTGCAGAAACCACCAGAAGGCCCTTGGTGCTGGACCTCAGTGTCCGGGCAGAATGATGGGGGTGGAGACGCTCCTTCAGGTATACTGGGCCAAGGCTGTTTAGGGCTTTCAAGGTCAGCACCAACACTTTGAATTGTGCTCGGAAATGTACTGGGAGCCAATGTAGGTCTTTCAGGACCAGTGTAATATGGTTTCAGCAGCCGCTCCCAGTCCCCAGTCTAGCTGCCGCATTCTGGACTAGTTGCAGTTTCCGGGTCACCTTCCAAGGTAGCCCCACGTAGAGCGCATTGCAGTAGTCCAAGCCAGAGATAACCAGAGCATGCACCACTCTGGCCAGACAGTCCACAGGCAGGGAGGGTCTCAGCCTGTGTATCGGGTGGAGCTGGTAGACAGCTGCCTTGGACATAGAATTTACTTATAGAATCTAGTCTCAGGCTGTTTTGGGACACATCTGAAGCCACTGAACTTTATATGTTCTGCTGCTGCCCTTTTTAATAGGTAAAATGTCTTACCTGGGAACCTGATTTAGACCCACCCTCTGCCCCAGAGGTTCTGGCGCTAGCCAACATCCCCACCCCCTGGGTGGGTGAGCAACAACTGCTGAGCTTCCTGCTCTCCTTGGAATTCATAGAATCACAGAACTGAGGAGTTGGAAGGGGTCCCAGGGGTCATCTAGCCCAACCCCCTGCACTGCAGGAATCACCATTCTTTGTGTTTGAGGATCCGAGGCGGGTGTGTGTGTGTGTCACTAACCTTAATGGTGTCTAGAGCCAGTTCCAGCACCGCACACTGCTTTGGGGTGAGACTCCGCGTTTCCTCCCTGACCATGTGATCCTGAAACAGTAGATGGCGAGATTAGGGCTGTTTCGGGGGGGGGGCGTCCTTAAACGGTAAGGATCCAAAAGGGAAGTCAAGCGTAGGGGTGGGTCAGGGATCCAGCGGCAGGGGACCTTTGCTGTGAGAAGCCTATGAAGAGACACGCGGCAGAAAGACGAGCTGAGCAGAGGGAGTGGGAATGCGGCCACAGGCCTGTCTCTATGCAAGCTCCTCTGGGAGAGAAGAAGGAGGGGACAACACACACGCCAGCTGCAAGGAAGAAAACTCTGCACAAAGGTCTTCTGGAAGGGACCCCAGGGCCATCTAGTCCAACCCATGCAACGCAGGAATCTTTTGCCCAAGGTGGGGTTCAAACCCACAACCCTGAGATTGAGTGTCTCAGGCTTAATATGGAAAGAAAGAAAGATGTTAATGGATTAAGTTAATCTTATTTGAAAGTGGTATTGGAAAACTGCTAGAATGACCTATATGGAAACTCAGCTAGGGAAATTCGAGGAAGTCATCTAACAAGGATAACAAAATTGGGAATTTATCAGTTAGGATAAATGTATGTTTGTTTCCTTTTCTTTCTGTTTGTTTTTCAGATTGTAATGTTTTTCTTTTTAAGTTTGTTATGAATTTGGAAAATTAATTAAAAAAAATTTTTTCTTGGGGGGGGGGAAGTGTCTCATGCTACGAGGGCTTCATTCTTGCAGGGATGGCGGGCAGAGAGACGATGTCAAGCACCATGCGCCAAGAGCCAAGGCAAAATCCAGCTTACGCCTGGGCAGGGACTCAGGCACTGGCCATGGTTACGACAACAGTGACAAGACGCACAAAGGGGACACAAGGGCATTCTGTGGGACGCACAAGCAAGACAGCCACAGTCACAGGCAGAGCAGGCGGGGGCGGAGGGCCATGCGCTAGCGGTTACACCCCCCCCATACCTTCAGCTTCGACAAGTGTCCCAGTTCTTTAGCGGCGCTGAAAATCAGCGGGGTCCCCTGCGGGCGTGACGAGCGAGAGAGGAAAGACAAGACAGGAGGAGCAGAAGGTTACACCCCGGATTCTGAGCAGGCAGAGGCAGCCAGCGGGACCCTGGCCCAGGCAGGAGACCCTCTTGCAAGCGCCTGCTTCGGTGCCCACTAGGGCTGCTTCAGGGGGCAAACAAGGTGGGCAGCCTTCGTGGGTCACACCAGTACAGTAGGGAAGAGGGATCAGGAGGCCTCAAAGGCTTTGCGTCGAGAGGAACATGCTGGCTTGTCAACGGAAGGAGAGGCGCTTGCAGGTGGAAGCCCCACTGATCTCGGCTTAGCCGTCAAACGGCCATCTTGGCAATCTCCAAGATACACAGGAGTGGACGCAGCCAGCTTAGAGACAGGGCCACTTTCCCACCTAGGTGACCTCCCAGGAGGGGGCTGGGCCAGAGGTCAACGTGGGCAGGGCAACGAGTGCAAATGTTATGGTTGTACTGCAGGAGCACTTCTACGCACACAGCCTCCTCTGGCCTTCATCTGAGGAACCCAGAGGCATCATCAGGGTTCAAAAACAGGCAGAAACGTCCAAGGTAGGTCTGAAGGAGTGCTGGTAAGAGTCCAGGAAGAAGGCAGAGAGTCCAAAGTCTGTTTCAGGGGCCTAGTTCAGTTGATTTTACCTTGATGGGCCCTCGCGCATGTTCACGTCATCAAATCTGGCCCTCTTTTAAAAAGTTTGGACACCCCTGCTAGAGGGTCCTCCCCGCTGGCTGAGAGGCTATCTGCATACTCCTCCTTCCACTAAAGCCCCTCACTCCTAAGGAAGACCCAGGGCTCAGCTGGAAGCATGGGATACAAGGCTGGTATGGTCAGACTTGGGGGGTATTTTCTGCACAAAGGTTCCAGCAGAAACAAAAAGAGAGAGGGAAACTTCACTTCCAAGCCAGTAGAAGCTGCCCTGGTCTGCTCACCATCATCCCTCGGCTCCGAAGCCCTTGCCACTAGCCAGCCTTGGGGATGTTGTGCTGGCTTGGTCATGGTGGCCCCTTGAGGTCCCTGGGGAAGCGAGGCTCTTCCTCCAGCACCAAGAGGAGACCCAGGCAAAGAGCCCTCCTTTCCACACCCATCTGCTGCGCTCGTGGGGAAAGGGCCAGTCGACAGCATTCTGCTTTAGCATTTCCAGGCCCCTTTGGGCCACGAACCCCTCCAGCCTCCCCGCACCCTGTGGCCAGGGGAACATGCACACATACCCCTCCAGCCTCAGCCTAGAATCCAACTGGGAACAGCAAAGAGCCAGCTGGGAATCCAGCTCTTGCAGAAACAGAAATTTCTCGCCTGGCAGAGGCACGAGGGAACCCTGTGTGGAACCAAAACGGTGACCATGTTCCGGAAGGCCTGCAAACGCCACCTTGGGAGTCAGGATAACCCTGGGGCTGATTGTCATTTGCTGCCAGAATGAGCTCGCTTATGTTCAGCTGCCTGAACATAATGCTTATGTTCCGCTTATGTTCGGAAGCCTGAGTTTTGGTTCCGCTGGTGGGGAGAAGCGAGGCTTCTTAGAGATGGCCTTAGAGATGGAGGAGAGCTGGCAAGGGGCCTCCAAGCCGGGGGCAAGTTAACTGGGCTCCTGGGGCCAGATTACATAGTTTGTTTTTGTATTAGATGTGATGCCTAAATGCTTTCCCGGGTCCCGACAAGTCATGGCGACCGCTTGCCTCTTCAGGGTCTGTGCTGAGTCTGGCTCTGTAGTCGGTGTTGTACATTGGCCTGTTCTTCTAATAAAGAGCTAGAATGGATCCCTCTGGTGTTTTTTACCTCCTCTGGTATCCCTGCACCAAACCACTCGTGAAGGCTTTGTGCTTCCCAGGGCACAAGATTTCACCAGACTCTAGGAAGCTAGCAGCCACGGCCCCTGACCCGGAGTCTGGTGGGCTTCTGGCCTCCAGGCATGGAGACATCCCTCCGTTTCCACAGCACCAGAGTTGATTGGCTGAGCCGTCTCCTGACGACTTCAGCTGCATGGCGCTCCCTCTTCTGCCTCGGGGCTCCTGGCTGCTCCTGGGACTGCGCCAGGAAGCACCAGGCCCTCCTAAGCCAGGCTCCCCTGCTCTGGCCAGGCTGCAGCACCTTTCCCTTATCAACCTTAAAGCTTTCCCTGGCAGGCACAGTGTGGACACAGGGCTGCTGAAAACGGGCTTTGCAAAAGGTTCCTTTTTGTTCCTGTTAATGGCTGCTACAAGGCTGGGCAAAAATTGCCCTCCCCATGCCAGGCAAGAGAGAGGAAAGATTTCAAAGGATGGGGCACAAAGAAAGGTCTCTTGGCTGCCCATGCAACTTTCCAGCCCCTGCACCAGCGGGTGGGGGCTTTCCTTGGCACTGCACTCAAGAAGGCAACGAGTGGCTCCTTGGAGGAACACAATGTGGGACTTGAGGCCATTGCCCATGGTAATTGGGACCCGCTTCTCTCTGGGTCCACTCTGTTCCGCGGAGTGGGGGGTGGGCTTTGTGCAGAGAAGAGGCTGGTGGGCCACTTTCCTTCCCTTCCTGGGAGCTTCAAAGGGTTTCTGCAGCCAGCCCCCCCCCCGCTTGACCCGCCTCCCTCCCGTTCGTCTCGCTTCCTTCTTTCTTTCTGAAAAGGCTGGTTGCCGCCTGCGCTGGGCTTGCCCCGCAGACAGCCTGACCCAGCCATTTTCGCAGCTCCGCTTAAACCTCTTCGCGGCTGGGGCATGCGATAAACGTACAAAGGCAGGCAGGCAGGGCTTCTCCTTCTGTTTCGGCAACCCACACAAGCCCACGCAGCAGCAGCAGGAGCGCTGATCGCTCGCAGCCTTAAAGGAAGCCCAGCCTCCAAGCTGGCTCACCGGCTCTTCTGCTGCCCCTCTGCATGGCAGCCCAGGTGGGAACAGGCTGGAGGAGGAAGCATCTGGGGGGAGGAAGGTCCCACCTCCCTGGCTGTGCTTGAACGCAGCTCCTTCTGGAGCCCCCTCTCCTCACGCTCAGACCTGCTCCTTCTTTCCCATCTGGTCCAAATGCCCCTGGGCTGGTTCAGACCCCCTCCTTCTCCCCCCCCAGCCATTCAGCTCTTTGCTTACACTTAAAAATGTGCCACCTCTGTTCTCTGTTCACCTGGGGGCTGTGGGGGGGTGAAAGAAGGGGACAACTGCAAAGACCAACGAGAGCAGCCAAGATTGGCAAAAGGCAAGAGATGCAGCGTTACCTAGTGGTTAGAGTGTCAGACCAGGACCTGGAAGAGATCAGGGCTCAACCCCCCACTTGGCCAGGAGGCTCTTGAGTTGTGACTTGGGCAGTTGCTGCCTCTTCGCTTGACCTCCTTGAGGCGAAAGGAGTGGGGGAAGAGGATTACCGTGTTGTCCGAGAGGGGAGGCAGCACGATGATCTTCTCCAGGGTGTTCATGACCACCCTCCAGAGATCCTTCAGCACCCGCTTCAGCACCGTCTTCTCACAGACGTCCGCAAAGAGCGTCAGGCTGCAGGGGGAGAGCAGAGGGTTAGGCTCAAGCAAGAGGACCTCAGCAGGACAAAGGGGTCCCTGACTTTTCCCTGGCTTTGTCCAGAACCAAAGGTCTATCCAGCCTGTGTTTGGTCTTCTCCAGCCGACTCCCTTTGCATGGACGCGACCAGCAGCTGTGGCCATGCCTCGAGGTCTGGCCAGGCCAACTGCTACTGCTGCTTCCAGCTCTTAGGGGAGCTTTTGCAATTCACTCTGGGCCGCTTTAAAAGTCCTTCTGCCTCAGCTGGGACTGACAGAGAAACCAAGAAAGCACGGGGGATTCTTCCGCAGAAGCGGCCCCCTCCATTTCCCAGCCCTGGGCTCAAGCCGAGGATGCCAAGAGGCCTGCGCAAACCCTCTAAATCTGGTGCGGATCCGCCCGGCGCCCTTACTTTCCATCCAGGAAGTCCATCAAGGGCCTGAGGACGTTGTCTGCGTCTTGGGCCACCACATTGGGAGGGGCGTTCCCCGGCCCTTTCACCTGGCAGAGGATATCCGACATCTGCTTGACGCAATCGTCGATCCGTGCCTGGAAACTAGAGGCCAGAAGGGACAAGATCACTTACGGGCACCTCCCTCCCTTGCAGGCTGAGGCCACCTGCTTGCGGGCAAAGTCTGCCTGTGCACGAAGGAAAACAGGGCGGCCCCCAAAGCACAGCGCTCAGCAGCCCCCTAACATGAGCCTGGCCCACCTCACGGGTCAGGGGATTTATGCTCCCAGAAATTCAAGCTCTCCCCTCTTCCCCCCCCTGCACTTCTCAGAAGGAGGGACATAGGAAGGATACGTGGTTATCCTTGGACGGAAGCCAGGCCAGGCCAGGATGCCTCTATCTCTCCTTCCCACTAAGCTGGCAGAGCAAGGGAATGCAGGAGAAGCAGCGGAGGCGGAAAAGGAAAGTCCCCAGAGTTTAAAATGCCTCCCATATTTGGTTGCCAGCGGAGGAGATAGGCATTCACTACTAGAAGGAAATAGTTCAGGACCTAAGAGATGGGCTTGTGTGTCCCAAATCCAAGCAAGGGATTTACCCTACCCTTAAAATTTTTGGCTGGGCCCCTAGAACTTGTCATCAGTTTCGATTCTGTATTCCGGAGGAGGAGCCCGACTTTGCCTTGTCAATATTGAGGAGAGCTCACCGGAATGATGCCCTTATCTCCCAGTCCTGACTAAGCGCTTGTGTGCTGATAGCAGAGCGGCACCAGAGAGAGAGCACTTTCTCTCCCTTAATGCAGCTGCCGCTTGCTAAAGCCGCCATATCACCCTCTGAATGTTAAGAGAGAAATTGCACTCGATCAATGAGCCGGCAAGCAAAATCTGGCACAGATAGGACCCCAAGAATATGAACTCGCGGCGGATTTCACAGTTCAGAGACTATTTCACTTTGAGCCAGGCGAGAAGTGCGTAAACGTTTCTCGGTTCTTCGGTTGCTTTCGTGAGTGAGGATTTGAGGATTAACAAAAGGGAAAGGAGCAAACTCCAGGCCTCTTTTTCCATCTCGTGAAGCAGACACAGAAGGAAGGCCATCTCCCTCCGCAACCCCTGGGCTGCTGGCACCCACCTGTTACCAAACACAGCACTGAGCTCATCCAGCACGTTGTTCAGCTTCACCTGCAGCTCCTTGAGAGAGTCGCTGGCTTCTGGATCCAGCTGTGGGCAGGAGGAAGGAAGGGAAGTGAGAAGTGTCAAGAGCATCCATGCCCACTGCCTCCATTCGGACACAGAGTTCTAGATCAATGGCTAGGAGGGTGCGTCTGCCTGTTGGCACTAGGCTGGTGCTAGGAACTAGGTGCAAGCAACTCTGCAGCAGCGCCTAGTGTCTCCAAAAGTTTTCCCCACTTCTAACAACATCTGACTCGTATCAGAAAGCCCAGCCTGGCAAGGGACGCAGCAAGCGAAAGACCACCTGCGAGGCCACGTCTCTCTGTCCCCCAGCAACTGCGGAGTTGAGGACAGTCCAGACCTGCCAAGCCAAGCCATCAAGACTCTCTTGGCGCCAACCTGTGTGGGAAACACAAGACTTAGGTCCCAACTCAGGGCTACACGCACTCATGGGAGAATCGAGAGGGGACAGAAAGGGGAAGGCACCCCCAGATCCAACAGCAATGGGTGGAAGCCCATCAAGAATGCAGCAGAGAGGAGACGCTGCCTCTCTCTGCTCCCTTTCATGCTACAAACACACCAAAATCCACTCAGCCCTCCTGCCAGAGCCTTTGGCAAGAGAGATTCCTTAGCTACCTGTAGGCATTGCTGGTTTCTGGGCTCTGGGCCAATGACTGCCATTAAAAACAAGCACCTTTTCAAGCTGGTTTGGAGTGTCTCTCTCAACAGATGTGCTCAGTTCTTTCCCAGCGATTATCATTTTAAGTACACTTGTTCTGCCTTTCCATTATATTCCAGGCAGGCTGGGGACAGAGACAGGAGCCCATCTGCGGAGACAGGGCGTTGCGGCAACAAAAGGGACCCCCAATAGTTCATCCCTGGCCTCTGCCTATTGCACCCCTGAGAGATGCCTGCCCACAAAAACAAAAACATATATATATATGTGTGTGTGTGTGTGTGTGTGTAATTTCCCTACAATACATTAAACACTGGCTTCCCTTCCACCCTTCCATGGTTTCCTCCATATAACAATTACTGCTGAATATTACAATCAAACCATACCTTCTTTTCCTCATCTTATTCTCAATGTAACTTTTACTATTGAATTTACTCCAAACCTGCTAGCAATTTAACCTGCTTATGATAGTTCTTCGTCTAATCTGCAAACCATTTGCAATCAGCCTTGAATAGTGTTTCATCCTAGTCTCTGATTCTGCCTCCCTAAGCGACAATGTGGGTTTGCTCTTGTTTTCAGAGTGCTTGCGAGAGCCTGAGGCTTCTGAAGTCGAGGCCTCCAGAGCCAGGGAGTAAAAGCCCTGGGTGTGAAGGGCGGCTCTCCAACAGCCTGCCTGTCTCCCACTGCAAAGGAGGGCAGAGCTGCTGGATTCCGAACGGAGGGGGAGACAGACAAGGGGTTGCCATGGCAATGAGGCGGTGGCCAAACTGTGTCCCCATGGACCATAAGGGGAAGGAGGAGGATACTTTTCAGGGCTCAGAGCTCTCGGATAAGACCCTGGGAGGGAGAGTGTTCCTTGCCCCCCAAGAAAAAGGGAAGCTGATTTCTGGTCAACTTTACCTGAGCCCATGAGAGCATTGAACTTGCTTGGACAAATTTCAAAGTAGAGTTTAGTAGAATAATAATAATTTAATAATTGTTGCTATTTTGGCCACAATTATTGCATTTAACAGCCACCTCACCCAATGCTTTAATCCTATATTCACACTTTATTTCCGCTTGCAATCATTATAACCTGATGTGTTTCCCCCCACAACTGAAACGCTTTCACTGCTTTCCTGCCAATGAACTTTGGATAAATTTTGCAAATGGGTTTCAGCCTCTGGTCAGATGACACCACAGCCCTCTCGCCCACTGGGGCAAATTAAGGACCTCCGTTTCAATCAGCAGCCATTAGAGAGCTTAACGTCACAGAGCCCCAAGATCACACACAAGCGAATACCCCTGTTGAGGCTGGGGCTTTGGAGACTTCTCCCCTGCCCTAGAACGAGAGTGCAGGTCAGGACCGGGTCAGGTGGGAGCCCCAGGCCTCCCTCCCCTCCTCCTCGTCCCAGTTGGCGTAGGAAACTGGGCTGTGACCCTGCGGCAAAAGGCAAACTCCCTTTCCCCGGGAGGAGGAGGAGGAGGTGGAGGAGGAGGGAGCACGCAGAGCTGGCTGCTTAAAAAAGCCTCTCAGGATTCAAGCAGCTGAAGCTGGTGTGTGTCGTGCCTTATTAAGGGAGCCGGTCTCATTAGTGTGTGAGCGCCGAGGGAAGGGCTGGCCCCCTGGCATGAGTCACGCTGCCCAGGAGCAGGCAGGCACTGGGCAAGGGCAGCAAAGAGCGAGATTCCCTCCCTCCCGGCTCCAGCATCTTTCTTCCTACTCCACAGGTATAGCCCAGAGCAAGATGCAGGTGGGCAGCCAGGGAGATCGTCTCTCTCTCTTTTACTTAATAACATAACATTAAATATCTCTCAACTCAGCCAGCTCCAGCCCCGCTGGCTCAAGTCAGGGAGGATGCACATCAGCTCTGCTTGAGGCTGGTCTCAACTCCCCACCTGCTCTTACACTGCTGGGGATGTGGTGGTTGTGGGATGACGTGGTTGTGCGAATGAAACACATCTAACACTAAACCATGGCTTGCCTAGCCAAAGTGCGGCTTCTCTGAATGTCCAAACCCAGCCCACCACAATAACCGTGGTTTAGTTTCTGGTAACAAACCAAGATGTGATGCTGTGGCTCACGAACCATGTTTTAACTATGGTTTTATGTTGTGTCTGAAACCAAGTGTCTTAACTGACTATGGTTTGCCCATCCCACGCTGGGCATGTGCTAAGCAACAGAGTCTGGAGGCAAGGGCAGCTGGGAAACAAAGGCGGCTCTGGAAAGAAGTCCTGGCTTCTCTGCTCGACTGAAAGACAACCTGTGGCTTGTTGAATAAACCATGGTTAAACTATGTGCTTATTGCATCCATTGTAAATAATACTATTTATTGATGGCTCTTACACCTTAACATGGTCCAGTGTTCATTTGGCAGGAACACAAGAGAGACTAAGGACTGATCCACACTTACCTTTTGCCTGGCATTTCCCAGGCATGAGTCTGCACTTTAAAACCCTGATTGCTTTTTATTTCGCCCTGGAGCATTCCTCGTGAAAACCTGCTCTTTAAAGATGAAACGCAAGAAGCGGCAACCGGGTGCTTATGTGCACTGCTGTTTGCTCCAATTCAGCAGTAAAGAGCGGGTTTTCATGGGGAAACCTCTGGAGCAGGCATAGGCAAACTCGGCCCTCAGGATGTTTTGGGACTACAACTTCCATCATCCTTGACCACTGGTCCTGTTAGTGAGGGATGATGGGAGTTGTAGTCCCAAAACATCTGGAGGGCTGAGTTTGCCTATGGCTGCTCTGGAGCAAGAAAAAAAAGTGCTCAGACATAAAACTTTAAAATGCAGACAGTGCCTGAAAAGTGTGGAGGAAAGGAAAATGTGGATAAGCTCAGAAAGAGACAGGCAGGCAGACAGGCAGACGGCCCAGTCCCCGCCCTCCATTCTCCTGTCCACCCACCCCCTGTAAAAAACTGGGAAATGCCTGATGGAGGTCCATGGATGCTGGACCAATTGGGCCATTGGTCTGATCCAACAGGCTATTCCCATGTTCCCCCAGTCTCAACTGCATGGAGACTCACAACAAAAGGGTCAACACACTCACAGACGACAAGCTAGATAAGGTCATCAATGACTATGACTAATTCCTGGAAGGCAAGTTCCTGTAAGTGCAGGATTTGCTTTCATTTGGCAAGCCTTCCCGCTGCAGAAGACCTAGAGAAAAAGCAGCAGGTGACTCATGGGAAACTCTAGATAAGCTGGGAAGGGCTTTGGAGAGGGAAGGGTGAAGCTCTGCACTAAAACGAGCAGCAAATGCTTCTAGCTATTTGTTCAGCTGACTAAATCCAAAAGCGGGAGAGCTACGTTATCTCAGTGGCCGACACTCGCTAGCCGGGCTGAGGAACAGGATTCAGAGTCCCTGCACGGCACACAGACAAAGGCAAAAGGGACTGAGAATCTGCACAGAGCAGAACTCGGAATGGAGGCTCCAAGGGGAACCCGCTTAAGGCGCTTCAGGGACACCAAGGCCTCTTCCTAGCAGCAGTGCTGGAGACCAAAGTTGGCCAGAGGGAGCAAGAGAGACCCCATGGATGGCAACACTTCGCCCAAGGCGGCCTCTGTCATCACTTCCCATTCCATGCTTTTTCCTAAGGATCTTTTGCACAGCTCTGAGCTGCTTCTTGACATGCTGCCAGGGAGAAGCCACCCCATGCCACGGGGCCACCATGGAGTTCGCTGCCATGTGCAGAGCCTGCATCTATTCAGGATCTAGGGCAGAGCTTTCCAAACTTTCCATGTTGGTGACACACTTTTTGGACAGGCATCATTTCATGACACAGTAATTCAGTTTTACAAGTAAACCGGAGGTTGAACTAACCCAGTGTTTCCCAACCACTGTTCCGCGGCACACTAGTGTGCCGCGAGATGTTGCCTGGTGTGCCGTGGGGAAAATTCGAAAGATTTTTTTTTTTTTTGGTAAAAGTCAAATTAGGTCCTAATCTATCCCTCGAGCGCCTCTTGTCCGTTATTGTGACGCATGAAGCGTGTTCCCGCCCACTCCCCGCCCTCCCTTGCTTCTCTCTCTCTCTCTCTGTGGCGCTCTCCGCCGCTTCCTGCTGGGCATGCGCAGCTCGCCTCGCGCTTCCATTCCGGCCCCTCCTTCCCCCGACTACCCCGCCGCTCCGTTCCTTTCTCTTTCTCGCGTGTCAGAGAGCGGCGGCGCGAGTGCGGCGGTTCCCTCAGGGCTGACGGAGGGCTCGAGGAGGAAGAGGCAGGACGTGGAGGCGGAGAAAGCGGCGGCGGCCACCCCCCACCTCCGGCTCGAGGCCCGCGTAGAAAGCTGAGGGGGAGAGATAGATAGAGGTGGGCGGCGGCGGCGGCGGCCACGACCAACCGCCACAGTAGTTGTAGCGGTGGCGACGGCGAGCAGGGACTCCCGCTCTCTCTCCGCCGTGTCTCTCTCTCTCTCTCTCCCGGGCCCGTCCGTTGAGTCTCCCGCGCGCCTCGGCTACAAGATGAGCATCGAGATCCAGCCGGGTCTGACTGAGCTGCTGCAGGGCTACACGGTGGAGGTGCTGCGGCACCGGCCGCCGGACCTGCTGGCCTTCGCCGCCGAGTACTTCGCCAAGCCGCGCTCTCCTTCCTGCCTCGCTTTGCTGCCTCCTCCCCCCCACCCCCAAAGCTTGGAGGTTCCCCGGCGCCGACCCGCAGGTTTGACCCCCTTCTCACACCTCCTCGCGCTCCTTGCACGGAATGGGGCGGATGGGAGGAACGGGGCTCGCCGCTGCCTCCGCTCGCCCTCCCCCCCTCCGCCGGCGGTCCCGCGATTCTTGGCTTTTTGGCGGTTGGCACAGAAGGAAGGCAAGGGGGAGGGGGAAAAATTGAATCTTACACTTTCGTGCGTCCCTCCCGGCGTGACGCTGCGCGCTGACGTCACGGGGCTGTAATGGTGGTGTGCCTCGAGATTTTTTTCATGAAACAAGTGTGCCTTTGCCCAAAAAAGGTTGGGAAACACTGAACTAACCCCTCTCCAGCCCCGGGAGGAGCGCGGGGAGCATTCGCACCACACACCTACATTCTGCAGCCGACACACTAGCGTGTCGCGACACACAGTCTAGAAAGCTCTGATCTAGGAAGTCATAGCTAAGGAGGAAGTGTCTTAAGGCCAAGAGTAAGCAATATGGATTCTAACAGCCTTAGGATTCCTCGGTTCAGGATTCTGATCCTTTTCCTTTTCCTGATTCTGTTCCTGATTCTCATCCTGATTCTGAGTCTCATCCTGATTTTGATTTTGATCCTGGTCCTTCTCCTTCTCTTCCACATTCTCAGACTTGGAAAGCAAAGGAAAGACAGAGACAGACAGACAGGCAAAGGTTAGACCAAGCATTCTCACAGCCTTGCAGAAAATCTCACAGCTTGAATCAGTGATGGAGGGGGGAAATCCTGCCTCCACTTAAGGACAACAGGTGTTTAAGGCTTGGAAGGCATCAGGCAACACAGCTGTATCCACACAGGCCCAGCAAGTATCCAGAATAATGAGAAAGGGGACACACAGTCTGTTCAGCTGCAAAGGAGGACCCAAAGCCAATTGTAGCAGCTGGAAGAAGCACATTTTCAAACCAGACTCATTCAGCAAAGTCTTTACACATCTGCATCTCAGCTTTCAGCAACCCAGCTTCACTCAAGTTGGCTGCCACATGGCGAATCGATGGGGTGAATGTTTCAGGCCATTTCACATCCATACGAAGCCTTTAGAAACTCAAGAGTTAGGAAACGTGTTCAACGAAGGCCGTGATCTCATCTTCCCTCCCTTCTCTGACTATGACAGGAGTAGCCAACATGTCTGTCCATCTCTCCCCCCCCCCTTCTGACTATTAGCCTTCTGGCTGGGCCTGGTGGGAATTATAGTTCCCCACTTTGGCTCTTGGTGGTGCATGATGCAATCAGTGGCAGGCCTGCTAGCTACTCCTTTCCCCCGCCACAAAATCCCATCCCCGAGCAGCTGACGAGGCAGTGCTGAGCCCCACGCCCCAAAGGGCTCCTCCGAGCTCTTACCTCCTTGGCCCCCATGGCTTCAAACATCTTCTCCAGCTGCACCCTCAGCTGCTGGATGTTGTTCATCAGGATGCAGGGCTGAGGAGGAGAAAACGCCAAAGACGGGTTACTGGTGAGACAGACAAATGCTAAGGCCACCGACTCTCTCTGCGCAAAGCCTTCAGGGCCACACACAGGTGAGGAGGCCAGGACTGGATGGAGGAAGACCTTTCTCCCTTAGGCAGGAAGCCAGTTCTGCAAATCCAGTAGCCCAGCCAGCAGGAAGTGAACTGATCTCTCTCTCTCCCCGCCGGTTTCCGAGAAGCCCAGTTGATGTTTGGAGCTGGAAGACCAACTGGCAGAGAGTCCTGGACTGAGAAACAAGTGAAATGGCTGGAGTGCCATGCCCCCCCACCCCACCCCAGGACCTCATGCCCTCCCATCCCTATCAGGAGTTGGAGAGAGGGAGGGGAGGGTCAAGGGGAACATTTTGTCAAGGCAGAAAGAGCACTAGCTCCCAGGGAACCAATGAACGAACAAGCACAACGTTCGGGGACGGGAAGCGCCTCTCATTTTGTGACCCTTCTGTGAGCTGAGGCTGAGCAACTTTCCACTCCTAAGCAGCAGAAAAGGGTTACGAGGCACTTCCTGCCTCGAGAACCAGGCTGCAAAAAGTGCACTCCAAGAACGCCCGTCGGTCTACAGACAACAATTTTAATGTTTAAATGCCACCCACCTGACTGGGTTGCCACAGCCACTCTGGGTGGCTTCTGGCTATATATATATATATATATACACACAGTAAACAAATCCTGCAAATTAAGCAAGGGCCCCTGCATGCTGGCTCCACACTAAGTTGGTATCAGAGCCATCTGTGCAACGAGGTCTTGGGAGGGCAGCTATCTGTCCAAAGGCGCCTGGCCTTGAGGATATGGCTAAGAAGAGAGGGGTATGTCTTCTCCCCATTTGTCCTCTGCGTTCCCCACCCCAACCAGGCAGAAGGACTCACCACTTTCTCCTTAGAGCAGTAGGCCTGGAAACTCCGGGAGACGATGTCTGCGTACTGCATCAGCACCTTCCCGATGGTCTGCAAGGAGACCAGAAACGTTACTGAGCGGCACAAGAGAAACATTTAATGGTTTGTCACAACTGAATTTCATCTAGTTAAGTCGTCCTGAGGTTTCATTTTGGCAACAAGCCACTAACAAATGCTGCTGTTGACTGTGATGATAATTGCACCCCTTTCCCCCGGAGAACGAGGCTCCTAGAGATCCCGTGGGAGGAGAGGCATCACCTTGGCAAAGCGCCGCATGTAGCAGGCCAGGATGGCCGGGTCGGGGCATTCCAGCTTCCTGATGATTTCAAAACTCTGGTTGAGCTGGGTGAAGACATCCACCACGGAGCAGGAGAAGAGCGCATGCTCAGATGTCTGCTGGAACTGAATGCAAACAAAGAAACACGCAGTGTGAAGAAACCCCGGGATAGCTCAGTCGGTACAGCATGAGAATCTTAATTTCAGGGTCATGGGTTCCAGGGTCAATGCAGGGCAAAAGATTCCTGCATTGCAGAGGGTTGGACTGAAGGACCCTCGGGGTCTCTTCCAACTCCACGATTCTGTGATTCTACCTGGTGCCTTTGAGTTCAGGCCAGCCTTTTACCATGTGAATTTCAATCTGCGTTAGCATTTTAACTTTTTGTATGTTTTGTAATTTTTTTCTGGGTTTTCTTGTTTTACGTTTTGGTAAACTGCTTTGAGGTTTTGCTTCGTTTTTACAATCAAGCCGTGTATATACTTTATGAAATAAATGAATAAAACAAATAGTTGCTCACTTACTGAATTGATCTAACACTTTTCTGTTTTCAACCAAGCTTTCCACAATCCTGAAGGATACCCGTTGGCTTCCTTATTTATTAAGTTTATACACGGCAGGGCAGCAAAACTCACAAGCCATACAACAATTCAAACATTGGACGACAGCACTGCTGTCCAATAATCCAATAACAGCCTCATTATATCAATGCCAAATTATAATACAATTCCTAATAACAATCATTCAAATACCAAATTATACAATTTAGGTGCCCCCCCATGCTAGAATTGATGGTTTGATGATTTACTTTATTTCTGTGTTCCAAAACCTTACCCCATCCTTCTTATCTCTCTCCAGAGCTCCATGCAAAAATTCCAGGGACACGTCTTCGTTCTCATCCAGCCACTGCATCACAAACTGCTCAAACCACCTGCGTTGGGGAGGGAAGGAAGACCACAGCATTTGAGTTTGCAAAGCCCTTCCCCACCAGCCGGCCGCTCTGGGGCCAAACTTGGCCAAAACAGCCCCCCAGCATTGGAAGGAGACAGAATATTCACAGGCCCTTGCCCCCCTCTCTTTCCCCCTCCCTCCTTCATTTCATGTCCTCTGCCTTGTAGCACTGCAAACTGCAGGGAAGGAAATTACAGGGATTTGCATGACTTCCAGTGAATGAAGGGAGAATCCTGCTCTTGACTAAACACCCAAGGAAGGGGGCAGGGACCCAAGGTCTGGATGTGGCCCCTTGGGCTGTGGGCGTTCTGAGTGTGCCTCACATGTCCCAGGTATTTCTGAAACACTGACTGCATGTCTTCTTTGCCACAGCCAAGGCTATCACAGCATCCCCCGAGGCCCAGAATCGATGTAAGAGATGGGATATTGGGAAAGTGACAGAGCTGCAGATTGCAGAAAGTTATGGCGAGGCAGACAAAAGACCAGTTGGGGGGAAATTGGTCTCCATTTATGTCTCCATTTATACCCTAATGAGAGCTGATGCCGCGAGAGGTCTCTCTCCCGAGGCAGAATCTCTTTCAGAGAAAGAAGGACAGCTTGCCATTCTTCCGTCCAAGTGTGGAGAACAGAGTGACTGGCCTTCGGGTTGCTTCACTCATTTTACCTAAATGCTGGATGATCGAATCGTTCTGTTTAGGTGCATGTCAACGAGATGGCTTCTCTCCCAAGCTTGTGTTTGTGTGTCTTCTTGCGGCAGATGACACTGCTCTGGTAAGCAGTCGAGGGAAGGCACAGCCCCCCCCCCCACCTGCCCAGACCCAAAATCACCCTAAACTCTGTTCACACGGGCTGGATTGCCCTAGGCTGCTCCTCACCCCTCCCAGTCCAGGCACTGCTTTTCAGGACCGGTTCTTTGTCAACCGGGACTGCCTGAAGTTCAGACAGCAGCCAGGGCAGAGGCATCTTCAGGCCCCGGAGGCAGAACGAGCCACGGAAGAGGCCAGGGGGCTCTTCATCCCCAGGAGAACAGAAACACCCGCCTGGCGCTGGGAGGCTGCTGTCTGCCTGCTTGCGTTCGTGCGGAGCCAGAGCCCGCCTCTGTCTAGAAACGCGGCTGAAACACAAGGTGCTTGCAAACAAGGGAAGGGGAGTCAACAAAGCAGCACATTGTGCGATCTTCGCAGCCGATTACGGCCCTCTCCAAACCCGCAGCTGAGTTTATACAAACGGCGCTAATTATGGGGTGCTTAAATTTGCAAAGAAAGTGAGAGACACTACGGAGTGAGCGAGAGCAAAGCCCAGAGCATGCCGGGAAGCCTGAAATAACCCTTCACACTTCAGAATAGAAAGGCACAGCCTACCCGATGCTGGGAATTGTAATTGGCATGGTGTTAAAAAGCTGGCATCGGCCCATCCACACCGCAGCCAGCAAGTTTCCAGCAAGTCGCAAGCGCCACAAAGCTCTGTTTGAATGCACACATGGCAGGGTATTTTGCAGTTGAGACATTTCACAAGAATCTGAGAAATTTGATTGCACACAAAAGTGGTCCAGGAATTAGGCACCCCGCATTGGGGCTACGAGACACTCACGCCCCAAAAATTCTGAGGCACAACGAAGTTTCCTATTGAGACCTTCTATGCACCCCTTTAACATGTGCTGATGGCAGTAGTAACCCTATGTTTCCAGAGCGCCAGAATATGGTACCTGTGACTCCCCCCTCGCCCTCACTCAGGAGGGCAGCCTTGTCAAAGCACATTGCCCATCTTTGTCTAGCAAGGACACTCAGGCAATGACGTCTTCAGGACTGGGACTGGGAGCAGAGCCTGCTCTGGCAGAACTATTTTGCCCACAGGGCAAAGATGCTTGTGCAGTTCCTGGGAGGTACTTGAGCCGTGATTAGGACCCAGAGCCAGCAGCCCTCAAACAATGCAAGAGTCCCATCCGGAGTGGACAGGAACAGCCACGTCAGGCCAGCAGGGGCTGGAGACTCCCATGGCAGAGGCAGCTGGAAACCTCCAGAGCTGGGAGAGGCCAGGGAGTCTTCATGGCGGAGCACAAGGCCTGCCAGAGGGTAAGAAGGAAGGCTGGGGAATCTCTGGCACCTTGGGGAAAAGCGTAAGCATCTTAAGAGTTGCTTAAGCGCTGTGATGATAGAGTCATGGATTTGCAGGCTTGGAAGGGACACCCAAGGAACATCTAGGCAAACCCACAGCAATGCAGGAATCACAGTGAAGAATCCCTGACTGACAGGTGGCCATCCAACCTCTGTTTGGAAACCGCCAATGAAAGAGAGCCCATCGCCTTCCGAGGGAGTCTGCTCTCACCACCAGAAACTTCTTCCTGATGTTTAGTTGGAATCTCTTCTTGGAACTTGAGGCCATTGGTTCATGTCCTCCCCTCTGGAGAGGCAGAAAACAAGGCTGCTCCATCTTCCGGGAGGCAGCCCTTGAGATACTGGAAGACGGCTCTCGTTTCACCTCTCATTCTTCTCTTCCCACTCCCTCCACCGTTCCTGCGAAGGCTAGGGAGGCCTCTGCTGAGCCAGAAGATTATCAGGGGCTGGTGCCACCTGCTAAGGCAGTCAAGAGCAAGGCCAGCCTTTCTCGGCAGCGCTGAACACTCCCTGCGGTGCCGAGGAAAGGAATGCGCAGCTGCAAGTGAGGAGACGCCGGGGTTGGGAGGAAGGCTCTGACGTCCCACAGGCAAAGTGAGTTCTCTGCCTGTTTGAACACGGAGGCTGGAAGGAAGGGAAGCGAAACTGGGCGCTCTTGCCCAACACCTTCCCCCTACTCTTTGAACCAACTGGAGTCTGCCAGCAGTGGGCAACGACGCCATCACATGTTATTTTTCCATCTCTTGCCCACGCAGAGCCCCGCTTCCAACAGTGATGAGGCTCCGGTTTGCCTTAAGTTGTTTGCTGACATTTGGAGAGAAAGCCAAAGCAGGGAAGTGTTAATATCGTCCAAATTTGATGGCGATGCAGATTATTAGGAAAGCAAGTGACTCAGCAAACGCGCATCATCAAACCCGGGATCCTGCCAGGGCTGCCGCCAAGAGGCAAGGCAAGGCAGGGTGTTGGAAGAGGCAGGAGGTGTCTGCAAACAGCCCCTGGGCTGAAATATGAGCCTGGCCCAGCGGCAGAGAAGTGCCATGGCAACAGGGCTGCCATCAAGAGGCAGTCCAGAGGGCAGCCAAGATCACACTGCCTCTCAGTGCGCCCTCTGCTTAGTAATGCTTAGCATTTAGATCCGTTCTCCATCCGCAGATGGCAGGTGGCTGACTAACAGCCCAATTCGCCGCACAGCCAAGGCAAAGCAGGTGACTTGGGCCAATTTAGAGCCAGGTTCCTTGCCATCCAACCACTCGGTGGGTGCCGCCTTCTCCTGGCTTTCTCGGTGGGGAGGCCTAGGCAAGTCTGGTGCACAGGGAGACAGCTCAGAAATGCGGATTTGTTATCCTCCTGAAAGCGACTGAATCATCCTTGGCGCTGGGCTCAGAGTCGGGGCTGTGTGTGGTGGAAGCCGGCAGCGGAGATTCTCATGTGGGCTAGAAACAGGAAGCATGGAACTGGCTTGGGGAAGGGGGTAATTAGCCCTTAATAACGAGCAGGACGGAACGCGCGCCATCTCTTCTACGTGATCCGAACACTCTGCCTTTCACAGCTCAGAAACACAGAGGCACAGCGTGGCTGCCGATCCCGGCGTCTGATTCACACTCCGGAACACTTCCTTCTTCACACTGTTTTGCAGGACCAGGACCAGGGAGCCAACGCCTGGCTGCACCCAAGAGGTCCAGAGCATGCCGGGATTCTGCTGGGAGGCTCTTGCTGGTGGCTGTGAGGGCTCCAAAGGCAGTTTCCACAAGACCAGAAAGGTCTGGAACCACAGTTAACCAGGCAGCATATCACACATGACAGCCTTCTTTTGTTCAGGACAAAGCCAGGAAGGTGGAGGCCAGAAGGAAGCCTTGCTCCAGCCCACAAGAGACTCAGGAGGTACTTTGGACCCCAATCAGGTCCAGGTTCTGCTCTAATCCACAGCCTGAAACTTCGCAGCTACAGGAGCAATTCAGCCCCAGAATCAGATGCCAAGAGACCCTGCTGCATTTAATTTCTGGAGCTTTGCTAAGAAGTGCTGGCAGACATCCAACAAGGATGCTAACTGAGCAAACTTCTTCCTGCTTTTGCAACCTCCCTCCCCTTTCTATGGCCTAGGATGGCACACAAGGAACGGCAAGGCTGCATGCATCCGCCCTGCTTCTGACACTGCTAGCGCCCGGGGGGCAGGTCTCTCCCCCTTTGCAAACATGAAGGGCTGCAGTTCAATGGCAGAGCACATGCGCTGCATGAACAAGAGCCCAGGCTCCAGGCTCAGGAGCTACAGGCACGGCTGGGATGGACTCCAGCCAGAAAGCCTGGGCAGCTGCTGCCAGTCAGAATCAACATCACTAAGCTAGATGGACCAAGGGTCTGATCTGGCCTTTTATAAGCAGGACTGGGGAACCTTTTTGAGCGGTGCAAAAGGAAGTCTGGATGAGCCCTTGGAGAAAAGTGGGAGGGGCTGGCAAGGGCCTTTGTGGCTCCCCCCTCAAGAGAGAAACTGGAGACCTAAAAGAGAAAGGGGGAGAACAGAACTGCAAGTCACTCTCTTCTGCCTTGGTCAGACCCCACCGGGAATACTGCGCTCAGTTCTGGGCACCACAGTTTAAGCAGGATGCTGACAAGCTGGAAGGTCTGCAGAGGAGAGCGACCAAGACCATCAAGGGTCTGGAAACCAAGCCTGATGAGGAATGGTTGATGGAGCTGGGGATGTTTAGCCTGGAAAAGAGGAGACTGAGAGGAGATATGAGAGCCGTCTTCAAATATCTCACGGGCTGCCACATGGAGGATGGAGGATGCTTGTTTTCTCCTGCCCTGGAGGGCAGGACTCGAACCCATGGCTTCAAGTTACAAGAAAGGAGATTCCGACTAAACATCAGGAAGAACTTTCTGACAGTAAGAGCTGCTCGACAGGGGAACGGACTCCCTCCTTTCTTGGAGGTTTTAAAGCAGAGCTTGGATGGCCATTGGGTAGGGATTCTTTAGCTGAGATTCCTGCATTGCAGGGGTTGGGCTAGATGGCCCTTGGGTCCCTCCCAATTCTATGATTCCATTACTCTACGCCAGCTCTTCCTCTGTGGGGCCAGAGGCAACATCTGCTGCCAGAGCTGCCCCCTCAGCCTTCAGGAGAGGGGCTAAGCAAGGACAGACAGCTCCGGCTTGTCCTACCAGCTCAGAGCCCTCTGGCAGCAGAATGCCAGCCTTTGGAACTTCTTTTGTGATGCTGGGCTTAGCCCTCTAAAGTTACTTCTTGAATGGGGGGGGGGCTGGCGGTGAACAAACGCCAACAGAAATGTGTGTCTCGTTGGACAACCGAAAGAGTAAGTGGCAGAGACCAGCCTTTCCGGGAGGGAACCCCACACCTCAGAAAGGCCTCCTTTGCACCAGTGAGCATTTTAACCTGGGGAGGCAGCATCCTGCTCCACGTACCCATAAGACGAAGGAGGCAGGAGGCAGTCAGGAAAGGGCACTGTGAGTCACACAGCCGAATCCTCCGGAGGACTTAAGGCGCCTCCGCTTTCCGAAGAGGGGAGGCAGTGGCACAGGGGTGGCAAGGGGTGTGTGCCTTGCAAGGGAGCCGGAGGTCCCAGGGTGAGCCAGGTACTTACGCAGGGTACTCAGGTATTTTCCCGGCGAAGGCTGGCAGGCCGCAGACATACTCGTTGTAGAGCCACTTCACTTTGAAGTGCAAGTTCATGTAGTCGGCGCTTTTGCACAGCCGGTGCTTCTCGTGTTCTGTGAGGAAGGAGGAGAGAGACGAGGAGGGAGAGAGGGAGGGAGGGAGGGAGAAGGAAAGAGAATGCTGTCAGGTGAGTAATTCCATCGGCTCCTTTCCCAGCAACCTGCCACAGAAACAGGAGCCTCCGCACATCCGCAGGGCAGAACGCCCTGCCACGCGGTGCATGTCCAAAACCCACGAAATCCCCGCAACCTGGGATCCTGCTAACGATCGCAGGGCATGGTAGTTCATCCGGTTGTGGCCCGGAGCTGATTTTCCACACAGCACTTCAAAAATAGAAGGGAAGAGTTTCCTGTTGCCATGGCAACGAGAGGAGAACAGCTTCTTAGGGCTGGTCCTCCTCCTAAGATGCTCCACATCTCCTAGAGCTGGAAGCACAAAGCAAATCCCTAGAAACAAAAGCAGCCCCCAGTGCTAGAGAGTCTTCTGGAGGGCCCTCTGCCCCACGTCTCACACAAGCCAGCCCAGTCCTTGGGCGAACCAGAAGGAATTGGGTGGGGTGGGCACTGGGTTTGGCCTCCTGGATTTCCAGGCTCCTCCAGCCTCTCTAAAACGAGCTTCACAATCCAGCACATGCAGCTTCCTGAACCAGCCGGGAGAAGCATTTGCCTGCTCCACAGAGGTCGCCAGGTCCGGTTCGAAAGGCATGAAGCAGCCACCTTGCTGAAGCTGGGCAGCTCTGGGTCTGGTCTGGTGCTGGATGGGAGACCAGCGGGGAACCCCGTGACTTTGCCTCAAGTTCTATCGTGGAGGAAAAGAAGGATACAGATCTAAAAGTTTAAGACAGGTTGCTCTGCCCGCCTGCCCAGGTGACAAGAGAGAGACACTTCCCACAAGGCCATTGGGGCGCATGATGCCTCCATCTTGCCCCAGGTCAGTCGTCTCCAGCCTTCTCGCCTCAAGCACAGATTTCTCCTCTTCTCTTTTTCCAAAGTCCCTCCTGTCCACCCCCTTCTCTGGCAGACAGCTGGGTGCTCTCCAAGTTGAGTGGCACCTTTTGCCAAGAAGTGACCCACATGCTGCAACCACAAGGCCCAGGGAGCTTCTGCTCTCTTCGCTGAAGGCCAGTGGCTCCTGGGCTCCCTCCCCCCCCAGGTGAAACGGACCTCCCCCAATCTTCTGCATGAGCTCAGGACAGCAGCATGGGGGGGGGGGTCCTGGCCTGTCTCCCATCCAAGCGCAGGCCAAGCCCAGGAGGCCAGCAGCAGCCTTTAGACTCGATGGCACATCCGAGGCATGGACAGATCTAACCAGCTAACTCTTTCAAGCTACCTGAGGATCTGCAGGTCCTAACTGTGTGGCTGAAGCCATTGCTTGCAAGCAACAGTCCCCGCTTCCCTCCCAGGGGCAGAGCTGTGCATTCTCTGGGCAATGAGGGGCAGCAGGATGTGCCACCATCCTCTGGCGCTGATGACCCTGGCCAGGGCGCCCCTCCCTCGTTCTCTTCAGCAGAAGCGGCCAGGGAAGCGTCAATGTCCCAGAATCCCCAGCAGCAGGTCGTTTGCCAGGCATTTGCAAGGTTGGTCTAAGATCCCGAAAGCCCCCAGGCGAAAGGGGCTTTATTGAAAGCAAGCGCAGAGCAATTCTGCGTCCCACTTCAGACAGCAGGAGGGTTTTATTAGCACTCAAGGAGGGCAAGGGCCAGTAATTAAGACTTATTGGGGGAGAGAAAGAGAAAGAAAGGAGGTCACCTGGATACCCATTTAAGCCTGAAGACGCGAGGAGATCCCCAGACATTTGGTAAGAGGAAGCCGCCTTCCTGAAAGCAAGAGGTCTTCTGCTACAGAATAATTGTAGGACCAATGTACCATATTTTTCCGTGTATAAGACTAGGTTTCCCCCCTAAAAAATAATTTCCAAAATGTGGGGGCGTCTTATACACATATAGCTCTCCCCCCATTTTCTTAAGTCGGAGTTCCCCAAAATAGGGGGCGTTTTATACATGGGGGCGTCTTATAGATGGAAAAATAGGGTGAATTCCATCACTAGCCTCAGTCTCATTTTAAATTAATCAGGTTTAAGTAATTGGAACAAATCGCCTGCCCACCTTTTCCTGTTCTGCCAACACCAACCAGTGTCACACATCAGAAGGAGCACCCCACAGCATGGAGGGCATTCCCAAGACCCCTTGAGGGAATTCCCAGCAGCTGAAGAACACCTTTGCATTCCTCCCCACACCTTAGGCTCAGGACACCCCTTACTGCTCAGGACCACAAGACTTCTGAAGAGAACAGGAAACACTCAGGCTCTTTGTCTCCTCCGTGTGTGTGATGATGAAGAAGAAGAGTTTGGACTTGATATCCCGCTTTATTACTACCCGAAGGAGTCTCAAAGCGGCTCACAATCTCCTTTCCCTTCCTCCCCCACAACAAACACTCTGTGAGGTGAGTGGGGCTGAGAGACTTCAGAGAAGTGTGAGTGGCCCAAGGTCACCCAGCAGCTGCAGGTGGAGGAGCGAGGAAGCAAACCCGGTTCCCCAGAGTACGAGTCCACCGCTCTTAACCACTACACCACACTGGCTCTTTGAGGCTCCCTGTGGGTTTTTCCTGGGCTCAGGCCTCTTGCTGTCTGGCTCTCCCCGCCCATCTTAAGACTTCAGGACGCGGAGAGAGAAGGGCCAGGAGAGACGAGACTTCGAAGCCAACGCAGGGCCTTCAGCTTTTGGCACCTTCGCTTCCAGAATGTTTCCATGACACTTGTCTCAACGCAAAAAACACCAACTATCCTGGCAGAAACTTTTCTAACCTTGGGCTGCCTAATTCCTTTAAAATGGCTGGTAAATGCCACTGAGCCCCACTTGATAATATCCAGGGAAAACAGAGCCAATGGGAGGGCGTTCCACAGGGCGGGTGCCACCACCGAGAAGGCCCTCTGCCTGGTTCCCTGTAACCTTGCTTCTCGCAGTGAGGGAACCGCCAGAAGGCCCTCGGAGCTGGACTTCAGTGTCCGGGCTGAACGATGGGGGCAGAGACGCTCCTTCAGGTATACTGGACTGAATCCGTTTAGGGCTTTAAAGGTCAGCTCCAACGCTTTGAATTGTGATCGGAAATGAAAACACAAAACCAGGACAGCTTCGCATGGACACTGCCAAGCAGTGGCGCTCTCCCAGTGAGGCTCTCTGGAAGGAGGGTGGGCCAGCAGAAGGCCCTACAGTGCCTGGCACCTGAGAAGAAGCTGGGAGGGAAAGCGCACTCAGAGCAGAGGAGCAGCAGCAGGCGGGGTTTTCTGCAGGGGGGAGCGACACACACACAAGCTGCTTCCTGCCGCCACTGGCCTGCCATGGAAAGGGGCTCAGGCAGACGTGTCTGCTCTGCAAACTAAGCATCACTTTGGGGTTTGTGATCTATGCACAGCCTGGGAGGGGGATGGGAACCTGCTAAACTAGAATAAAGTCAGGGAGAAAGAAAAAAGGCTCTTACCGCCCTGGAAGAGGACCATGCGGATGCGAAATATAGGTGGGGCTTTGGACAGAGAAAAGGTAGGAGTGAACCAACCACCAATGTTCACACAGCCCTCCCTGACTCCCAACTCCAAAAAGCTGCCAATCCTCCTGCCTATCCATGTCAGAAGCGGAGCAAGGCGAGAGGGCTCCCGGCCAGAGAAAGAGAAAGCACTCTATATGAGGCCTCCGGTTGGCTCCCATCCTCACCAGGAATCGCTCCTCTAGGGAGAGATGCTCAGAAGGACCCTTCACGTCTTTATGATTATTATTTAAATTTCTACGCTGCCCTTCGTTCGAGGATGACAGGGCTGTTTGCAAAATAGAAGCACAAGACAAACCGAAAGCATGCCCGCCCCCCAGTTTAAAGGGCTACAGATTGTTTCTGCAAGAAGAGGGATGTTTTTGCCTGGCATCTATAGATAGGTACCGGGTAAGCCTCCCTGGAGAGAGCACCCCATAAGTGGGGAGCCACCGCAGAAAAGGCCCCGTTCTCATGTTGCCACCCTCTGGATCTCTCCCTTCACGTTCTACATCTGTTAACATGGAAGACCACACGGGGGTGGGGGGTGGGAGGCTATGTGCTATTATTCTCACTATGGAGAGGAAAGGTCTTTAGCCGAACATTCAGAAGGGTCACCACAGGGAAGGCTCTTACCACGTGATGCCTTGAGGGTGCTCATTCTATCCAGAACTTAAGAGATGAGCAAGGGGGTGAGACAAAAAGCACACACAGGCCAGACATTATTAGGAGCCCAGAGGGAAGAGGCTTAGCCCACCAAAACACAGGAGATGGAAGAGTCACACTTGTGCTCCTAAGGAAGAGCTCCACTTCGCAGCACAACTGCAGCAGAGGGAGGACAAAATCCCAGGTGTGTGTGTGTGTGTCTCTCACTCCTGCTCTTCGAGGTGTCAGAACCAATTGGATGCTAATTACCTGAAGCGACATCTTGAAACACAGATCACATCCCCTGTGCCTATTAGCCATGATCAAAATGCATCATGCTCAAACCCTGAAAAGGGAGCAAAGGCAGCAACGGCTTTAAAGGTTGAAAAATCAAACCCACAGAAGGACGCTTCATCATGGCTCAGTGCAGTTAACCGCCTGGCCCCTTTCCCCCTCTCCCCCCCCAATTGTGTTTTGCATAAACAGGAGCTGGAGGCCTGGGATAATTATTACTCAAATGAGCGTGCATGTTGCCAGGATATCGCAGGGTGGGGAGGAGTATCTAATGGCAGGATCCATGCCATGTATTCTTCCTGCTGGTTTGATCCCTCACCTTGAGCAAACTAACCTCAGATGCCCGGATTTTTCTAATGCTCTGATCATTTAAGGTAACAACCAGAGTAGGAATGCCACCCCTAAATGCTCCCCAGAGACTAGTGGCTCATTTAGGTGGCAAAGAGAGTTTGGAGTGGGGAGTTTGCAGTGGGTCAGTGGTCAGCCCTGTCTGGCCAGCTCTGCAAGCCTCCTCCAGGCACTGGAGCTCAGGAGAGGCTGGTTCTGTTCCCAGCCAAAGCTGGCTGTGCAGGATGTGGCTGATCCCCCTTCCTGTCTCCCCAGATGGCTGTGCAGAGAGGAGCAACCAACAGGACTCTCCGACCATCGCGACGGCCCCAGCCCCACCTCAAGCACTGCTTCAATCTAAAAAAGCATACATTAAGAAAAAGCATGCCGTATATATAAAAGTGTAGAGCAAACCTTTCAGTGAGAAGGGGCAAAGAAAAAGTGGACATCAGCAACAGGTCTGGGGCAGAGGTGGGGGCAAGCAGCCCTCTCCCCTGCCCCACATCCCAGGATGCCAAAGAGCAGGAGAAGCAGAGAGCCAAGACGAAGGTCCACAGAAACATGCCATGAACTGTGGGTCACCCTCTTTGCCCTGCTCCACTCAGGTACTAGCCCACAGCGCAAATCAAGGGGAGCAGGGAGTTCGTGTCCTCCAGCTGCATGAATTCAGGGGCTAAGGGCAGGGAGAGAGAGAATGGGAAGGTGATTGTGCCCAGAGAGGACAGAGCCAGCGCCTGCTCTTAGGGCTTGGCAGCTTCTCGCCTGGTGCAGGAGGAAGGCCAGTCCTCAGTCTCCTGATGGGGCGAAGGATGCCAAGCTCCATTCCAAGAAGCGACAGCGGTGCTGAGCTGGCAGAGCAGCGCTGGCAAGGCTTCCTTGGACGGCCTCAGAAACTCCCCCGGGAGCTTTTGGCAGCTCCTGCAGAACACGGCACAGAGCTCAGGGATTCCGGCTGCAGCATCATGGAGAAGTAATTTGATTAGAGGACAGCCGGCCTTTGCAAGGCTTTGACCCAAGCGGAACGTGACTGGTCAGTTGCCGAGCAAGAAGCTGGAAGGCACAGCCCATGGGAGCCTCGCTGGAGCAGGGCAGGGAAAGCTCCCATGTCATTTATGGCTGGTTGGGAGCCTCGACAGGAGCCTCCTGGAAATCAAAAGGCACTAAAAGCAGCCGCTCCAGCCCACTGCCGGCCCCTGGCAAATGTGCTCACCAGCAGGGAGCACGACCTCCTGCAAAACACCTGAGCCAAAGGCCAGGAGCCGCTTTTGTAAAACCCTCTGTAGCAGTAAGGAATGCCAAGACCAGCCACCTACCTTCCATGGCGTATTTCATATCCTGAGCAAAGAGGTTCCACATGACTTCGGCACTGATCTTCCCAACAGCCAGCTCCTGAGGAAACCTAAAGGGAAGGGAAGATCCCTGACGGTGGATCGCTGCCAAGAAGGATTCTGCAGGATCCCGTAACCTTTGGCCAATGAGGTCCGTCTCCCGAATTATCACAAATTCCTGGGTTGAGTGAGAGTCCCCTGGGCTACATCCCGCCCTTCTTGCTCCCTTGACAACCTTGCTGCGTTATTCACTTGCCCTACACACGCAGCCCCTCCCCCAGCCCCGCTTAGACCTAACATCCACACAGAGCTCGGGGGGGGGGGGGCAGCAGAGAAAAAGGCACCTGGAAGGCCAGCCCAAAGAGGAACTGCTCTCACCCCACTCGTCAGGAGAGTATCTGAGCTCTAACGCTGCAGGGGTGTGAGTGGGAACACCATCGAAAGAGTGTCACCCCAAAAAGACAGACAGAAAGGCAGAAAAGACAGGCAGGCAAAGCGAATCCGGCCAGCTCACGGAGTCTGCTTCCGGCAGCAAAGCAAGAGGGGCTCTTACTGGTTGAGGACGGGGGCATAGGAGTTCTTGTCCTCTTCGACGATGGAGACAATGAGGGTGATGAGCTTGGGCCAGAAGTCCAGGTTCTTGATGCTGGGGCCTTGCTCCTCGGGAGGCATGTCCTGAGCTTTGTTCTAGAGGAAAAGCAAAGGGCACCAGATGGGCAACTGGGCCAGGGCCTGCGCCTTCTGCCAGAGCGCAAGAGGGAAGCCGGGCACCCATAGCAAAAAAATTGTGGGTTCCTGGGCCCACAGGGCTCCCTGGAGTTGGTGCTTCTCATTTTCAGAACTCTGCAGCTGAGATCTGGGCTTCCTTCTTCCTTCTCCCTCCCACCCTCTGGGTCGTGCTTCTTAAGCTTCATCCAGTCTGCTTTTCATGCTGCATTTCTAGGCACAGGCCGGGGCTTTAAAGCTCTTTCTCCAAGTGTGTGCCTCCCCCCCCCGGCACTTTCTAGGGGAAAACCCCGTGTTTTGCCGCTGAATCGGAGCAACGATAACTGGTTTTTCTGTGGGTTGCCATTTGCTCCGATTCAGCGGCAAAACACGGGTTTTCCTGGGGCGAGCGCTGGCAGGGGATGCTCTGACGCTGAGCTTTAAAGCGTGGACTGAGCCTGGAACGTGTGCCACAAAGGGAAGCCTAGGCCTAAGGGCAGAGACACTCTGACCCCTTACTAAGCCACTCTGGGAATACAAGTCAGCTGAAGTGGAATACAAATGCTATTGTCACCCTCGACTCACAGGGTCTGTCTGGTATTCGCGGCTGTACAAATCCTGGCAGTTGTTGAAGATGTACTCGTACGTCGAGTTGAGGCAGGCTTTGACACAATCCTTCACCACCTGACTGGCGCGAGGAGGGCTCTGCAATTCCTGGACCTGGAAAGGAAGGAAGGAGAGGGTGGGAGGGAGAGAGAAGCCGCAAGTGCCACAAGTCGCGCTGCCTCTGAGGCTGGCAGTCAGATCACCAAGGCTTTGTTGCCTACAAAGGGTGTTAGAAACCTGCTGCTCTGGAGAATGCACAGGACCCCCGCAGCTTTAAAAACCGGAGTTTTTGGAAGAGGGAAAACCTTAGATGCAGATTCTCAGAACATTTGCAAACAGAGGAAAACACCATTACAGAACATTTATTCTGAATTTCTGCAGCAGTCAAAACAAACTCAGACACCTGGCCTGAAAAAGAACTTGACAGCACAGGTATTGATGTTCCAGGAGCAGAATAAGCCTGTTTGTTCAGATAAAACAAACAGGTGTGCCTGCCGCTTCCTGCACCAGTAATAGCTTTACGGGTGTCAGAAATCATCACTTGGCTTCCCCGTTAGCGGGAAAAGCACAAAGGCAGATTTCATTACCAATCAGCAGCCTTCACTGTGAATAATGGGCTTCTTGTTCCTGTAAAATGAATTGTTTTGTTCCAGTACTTAACTTTGTTTCCAGGGATATTTACAAATAAACAGCATTTAATTAATTGGCAAATGAATAAGGCTGTCAGATAAGCACACGGGAAAGTTCATAGCCACATCAGTGAGCGAGATGCGATAACAACTCAGTTGGGACCTGCAGCAGAATCTCCACTTGCTGGAAGGATGGAGGAGAGATCTTGCATTCGGAGGCAAAGGCTGACCTCTTTCCAGGCACAGTCTGCATTTTAAAGCTCCATGTCTGAGAAGCACCCTTTTTTGCTCCGGAGCTTTGCCCATGAAAAACCTACTCTTTGAAGCTCAACTGGAGCAAATGGCAATCTGCAGAAAACCTGAACTGCTGCTTGCTCCAACTGAGCATTAAAGAGCGAGTTTTTGCAGGGAAAGCGTCAGAGCAAAAAACCCTCATGCCTGGAGCTTTTAAGCACAGAGCTGTGCCTGGACAGAGCAGGGCAAAAGGACAAGTCCATAGAATGGATAGTCTGAGAGTGCTTTTCTCGAACTCCTCCCCAGAGAAAGAGAGGAGGAGGAGGAGGTCTCTGCCAGAGAGCGAGGGCTTGGCTTTGCCCAGGAACAGCCACCAGGAGGAAGACACCTACCTTCATTCTGAAAAAGGTGATGCTGGTCAGCAGGTCCACGGTAGATTTCAAGTCCTGCAGGCGGTCTCGGCTGCTGGCCGGAAAGTTGTTCTGTTGGCAGAAAAACCAATCCCCTTCTAAAAACCGCAAAAAGGTGAGCATGGCTCAAACACCCAGGACAAACACCCAGCTCAGTGGCCCAAACAGGCAGCAGCACAGGAGGCTCTTCCGAAGGTGGAGAACCTGTGACCCTCCAGGTGTTTTGGGGACTTCCCATCACTGCTGACTACTGGTTTTGGTGGCTGGTCCTGATGGGAGCTTCACACTGCTTAGAAGACCACATCCCTGCATGAGTCTAACCTGACAGGACAAACTGGTTATAGCAAAACGAGACTGGGATAAGGGGCGGCAGGGAGGGGCACAAGGAAGGGAGACTTCCCCCTCAGTGCAGGATGTCCCTGGTCACAACAATGCTACCAATTCACCCAACGGCCACACGCTTTGTCCACTCTGTGTTAATGCATCCTCAGAACGATAAACATCAAGGAAACAGATCGGATGCTTCCTTTTAAAAGTTGGCTGTGAGCAAGAGCCAAGGCAACAAGGAAGAAACCTCTCTGGATGCTTCTGGCCCTGCTGGCTTCTGAGCCAGAGCTGCCCTCCCTCCTTGTTGACGTTTCCAGGGCAGAAGACACCTTTAATTAATGTGGAAGGGCTTCGCTCCCCAAGACAAAACGTCAGCTGCACTTTGGGGACAATCAATTAGGAGCCCATTTATGCAACAGAGTCTTATCATTACAAATTAGATCTAATTACATTTCACTGCAGCTCACACTAGGCTACTATTTTTGGCAGCAGAATGAACCGGCATCTCATCCAAGGATTAGCTATTCCCCCCCACCATAACGAGCGGTATTATTCTACAATGTATAATTACACCATTCCCAAAGGCCATTTCCTCGCGCTGTTTCTAGCCAATGGTGGTGCACATTCTTTTTTGTTTATTGCTATGCAAAACCCCAAACTGCAAAAATGAAACTGAAACTCTCAACATCGTCACCACGTGCCAAACTGGCTGTATACCAAGGCAGAGCAGCTCTCTCTGCTTGATCGCAAGGAGGAGAAACTCCGTGCCATGGTCTGCATTGCTATAGCAATAATAATGGGAATAGAGGCTATCCAAAACACGATAAAGACCCAATCTAGGTATCACAGTCCTCCTAAGGTCACCTTTAAGGGGGTAAAGAGAAAATAATTGGCAAAGAGGCTTGCTTTAGTTGATGCCATTCAGCTGAGCCCAGTGGAAACATCCGTCAAGGGATCCTAACTAAGAGCCATCAAAACTGAATCCTGAGTGTTACAGGCTGGGCTTTCCTGGCAGGGGTGCAGTGATGCTGGATTTGCCTGGGCAGATGCATTGACCATGGTTCATAGTGCAGAAGCATGCAGGCAAGAGCGCGGCTCCCCTCCCCACCCCGTCTTTTGGAGAAGGCGCTATCAAGCCGGCGAGAGCTGCAAAGCCTGTTCCCAATCCTTGCTAATTTAGATGGGAGCACGACAACTCTGCAAAAGGTCACTATTACACTCCATTTTTAAATTCTGAAGTGTCCTCCTCCCACAGGAGGATTTCTGAGTTGGAAAGTGGAAGGACAGCTCCCCACCCACCCAGCCTTTGTCTGCTCAGACATTTCTTACCCTTGGTTTATTTTTAAAAAAGGAGAAAGGACTAGCAGGACTCCACTCAGTGGGAGCCAGGAAGCCCCTGCCTCAGTCAAAAACCCGAGACAAGCCTCTCTCGCCCTCCCAGGCCAACAAGGGGATAATCAGGCTGGCCTACTTTACAGCACAGCAGTGAGGATTACAGACATAATGAATGCGAGGCACTTGCAGGCTCAGGAGGGGGGTTCACGAGTGCCGAGAACTATTCACAGTCTCTCTGTGTGGCTCTTACCCGGTACATGGACAGGTCGATGCGGAGGGAATTGTGCAGCTGGTCCAGAAGTTTAACAAATCGCTCTTTCTGTGTGCGGGAGGAGAAGAGGATGTGTTACAGGGGTGGCCAAAAAGTGGTCCTTACCTATTTCCAGGCCTAAAGGGGAGATCCCCTTCTGGGGTACATTTCTCTCCCCCCCGCAAAAGGGCCACTCATTCCTACAGTGTGTCGGGACACACAAACAGAGCGAAAAGGTTTGCATCCATTGAAGCAGCGGGTGCAGAATTGTTTTCCCTCCGAGGGCTGCAACTTCCCAGGGTCGCCATGACAGGGGCAAAAGTGAGCAGATCACATTCGGACAGCAGGCTGCAAAAGGCTAAGATGCTTTTTCTGCACACACTTTGCTCCACCTTCCATTCAGGCACCGTCACACTTCAAGGGCATATTCCAGCCGGGCAAAGGCACCCGAGAAGGGTGTGAAGCAGGGCCCTTGAAGGGGCGTGGCTTTGGGGGAGAGGGGCGTGGCCTGCACAAAGTCCAGAGTGTGAAAGAGATGCCCAAAGGGCCACATTGGGCCCCCATGGTGGCAGAGGAATCCGCCCTGAGGAGGGCTGCTCTGTCAGGAAATAAATCGGATCCCTTAGGAATCACCCCTCTGTGGGGGAAAAGAATCCCATGAAGATTTAGAGCAGCCCCACTTACTTTACAGTAAGGGAAAACATCCAATCAGTGTTATTTTGCAACTCTTGAGGCCTTGGAGATTTGAAAGGATTAAAAGGCATTTTCACTGCCCACTTTAAAGGGCTGGTACGTCACTGCTTGGTTTCGTTCTCTGCTTTAAAACCACACAGTGGCACCACAAACAATTTTGAGATTGTTACATTACCAGGCATGCAACATCAAAAATCCACTTTGCAAAAGAACCGCATGCAAACACCAATTGATTCATTTCAGGCAGAGCAGGCCCCTGGCATTGTTATAAGAATTCTAAGGTCTCAAATATAGAATAAATATTTATAAATGCACACACATCTAAATATATAAGCCATGTGTCTGAACTAGTACAGGAGAGCAATCCTGAAGCCATTTTGACTCTTCCAATGACCTCAAATATTCCTCTGCAGTAAGGGAGGCAAATGGGGAAAGCCTTCCCATTGTCTTCCTGTCTTAAGGACGTATTTGTGGGTGAATAGGGCGAGCCTGTGACCTGGATTCAGGAACTAAAGGATTAACCATCACAAAAGAATGGCCAGGCTGCCCAGGTAATGCAACCAGCGGCCATTATCAGGCATCCTGGCAGACAGGATTTCTGCTGTAAACCGCCTCCTTCTGTGATGTATGTATGATGATTTGGGGGTGGTCTTTGGCTAAGGGGGTTGGGCAATGCCAAAAGTCTTTAAAGGTTCCTGCACACTTTTGTTCAGGGTCTCTCCCCCCTAGGAAGGAGCGGGGAGAACTCTGTTGCAACAGAAAAATAAAGATCTGCCTTGCTTTCCACTGGATCCTGCCTCCATCCATTCTTCTCTGACTGACCATGGACTTAGGGGACTCAGAGTCCCAAGGGGAGTTGGGCAGCAAAAGCCAAACCTCAATTTTTACATCAGCATCACTCGGGCAAGTGTCTTTGTGAGCGCAAAGGAACTTGCCTTGGCAGGAAGAAGGGGCAGTGTTTCTTCCAACCCACAGAATGATGTTCCTTGTCCCCTTGAACCTGGACCCACAAGCAAGCAAGCAGGGTGGGCGGGGCAGCAGGGGCACTTACCCCAAAGTTTGAAGCCGAGAAGCGGTCGGAGGCAGACACGTTGGTGGAGGCTGTTGTGTGAGCATAGTAAGCATTGATGTTGGCCAGCAAGGTGCTCATCACCGCTGGCACCCCCGGGCACATGTACTTGGAGGAGAGACATGCAAAATGCCTGGGGGAACAGAAGCCATGGGGCCATCAGGCAGAAGCTGCAGGGATGCTCAGAGCCATCTCAAGGAAGGACATGCGTAAGGTGCCTTTTATCTTCAAAAAAGACTCCCCTTCTCCTACCAAGCATCAACCCAACCTCTGTTGTGCCAGAAATCACAGGGTGACTGAGATGCTGGGGGTGGGCAGCAGCAGCAGCTCATCCACTCCAACACACACACCCCTCCCTGCAAAAGCCAGGCCACAGGGCGCAAGGCAAGAGCAAAAACCTCCTCCTCCCCACCCCCCATGCTTCCTCCAGAGCAAATGGCTCCAAGTGACTCAAGAGCGTGGATGAGGCACCACGCTATGGGGGTGGAGAGGGGCCTCAGGATCTAGCAGAGAGGCTCAGGTGTGTGGGGGGAGGGGGAATCCCACTCATAACCCATAATAGGCACTGAAGATGAGCAAGACCCATCCCATGATCCATCCCAAACAGAATGACACAGCAAAGAGCTTCACACCATACAGAACCCTGGCTGCAAGTGGGCCGGTGCCAGGAGGTCCAGATGCTGCCAGGAAAGGTTCAAAGTCCTCTCTGCCTGACCCCCAGCACCAACGAGGCCACAACAGGGAGCGCAGCTAAGTAGCCTGCTTTTACAGACCGCCTTAAAAGATGCGCCAGAATAAGGAAGCAGCTGGGAATAAATTTATCCAGTGCCCAGGAACCTAGGCCTCCCTGCGCAAGGACATTCCCAGCGGCGATAAGACATCCTTCGCTGCCTCTCCTGGGAAGCAAATGCAGCAGCAGGAGGAGGAGGGCTCTCCCCACCTGAGACTCCCAGGACCTGGGATGCAGAGCAGAGCCTCCTGTTGCTTCAGCTCCTGCTTGGAATCTGGAGCAAGAGCCTCTCTGCTCCGCCCTCCCCCTCCAGCAATTTTCCAGCAAGCCTTGCTCAGCCTCTCTCTTTCTCCCCAACTCTATTAATTAGAGAGTGCTTCTCTCCTGTCAGTCTCGTGACATAATCCCCTTTCAAGCACTGTTTCCCCTTATTTATAGCAGTTTTTCTTTGATTGTTTACTTTAATCATCCCACAAGCTCTAGTGCTGGGGGAATGAGTTTTAAGTTTTCCTGCGGGAGGGCTTCTTTTCTGCACTTTAATGAGAGCAATTAAATGAGAAAATGCAAATGAGGCCACTTCCTTCCTGAGGATGGCAGGATGAGCCCAGAGGAACCTACAAACTCCCTGAGCCTCCCTGGGGGACCTGGATGCAGTTTCCCCAAGGGGAGCACCAGACGTATTCTGCTGGAGCCCCAGCCCCCTCCATCCCCACCCGGCCCTTTCTCTGGCATCCCAGAATAAGGGAGGAGCATTAAGACACAAGGCAGCAGAAGCAGAGATCCTGCAGTTGGCAAAACTGGCATTTTAAATGGACGTATGCAAGGAGGACTCTGAAGGCCGACAAAGGCCAGGATCAAATTCTGCAGAAGAGTTTGCAGAAGGCAGGTTTTTAAAGGACGATGGTTCTCAAAAGTCCCGCCATCACAACTTCCTGAGCTGCTCTCAGACTCTACTTTCTCGCATCAAACCCAAGCCCGCCCCTTCCTAATCAGGAAACCTTCCCACAATGGACCTTTCAGTGGCACCCGGGATGAAAGGGATGCTCAGCATCGGGCAGGAACTCACGTCATGGCCTGGTAGATGGACTCGATCCCGTAGCGCATGGCAAACTCGTCCACAATCTCCTGGCCCGTCTCGTCAAAGTAAACCTTCCAGGCATCGTCCCCTTTGGCATCAGGAACCTTCACCACCCCGTTTCCTTGCACATCTGTCAGGTGGTGGAAGAGGTTCTGGAGCAGAAAAGGAGCAGACCAGCACATCAACGCAGGGGCTGCTGCTGCTGCCACAGACACGGACACAGCACTGCTTCGGGTGTGGACCCAACACAAGGTCGGAGTGGTACACAGCACCCTCATAGTTAGGTTCCCTTTATCACTGACATACATGGGGTACTCTTAAAGAACTCAGAAAGGGAAGAGCAGCTGCCCAGTGGCCAGAGTCCACCTGCCTTTGTAGTTTGGGGAAACTTGTGGGGTTTCGTCCCCCACCCTCGCCTTCCCCCTGGCCTGAAGGCTGCTCTCTCCCCCTGCACTGCATCCTGACAACCTCTGCTGTCCCACCCAAATCTTTTCTGGTTAATCAACCCCTTCTGCAGAAAGCTAAAGCTCAAGGTGAGGGCTATTGCCAAGAACATGTGTGAAGAGTTCAAATCCTCTCTGGGTGACCTCGACACCCTTTCTACTTCACAGGGGTGTTGTGAAGATAAAATGGGCAGGGGATCAAATCAGGGCATGTCACCCGTGAGCTCTCTATGCAAAGGTGGGATAGAAGTGACTACAGAGATGCTGCCCTCGATGCCGGAGTGGTGGCATGCAGGGTCCAAAATGCTCCTCTTCCGTGTCTGAGCTACCAAGATCAGTGTGCTGCTTCTCTCCAACTATCCCTCTGCGTGGAGTTTCCATTTCCCACTCGCAGTTCCCCTGGCCTGATCCAGCAGGCTCTTCTTCTGTTCTCCACAAGTGAACCAGGTGACAGACTGGGCAGCTCTGCTGGGCAGGCAAACCCAGAGAAGGTTGTGAGGCCGGCCTGGAGCAAAGCTCTTCCTTAAACAGGCCAGGCAGCCCCAGAGGATGAGCCAGTTGGCGACAAGGGCCTGATGGCGATCCAGCTTGCCTGCTTCAACTCAGGTGGAGTTTGAACCACACTTCCCAGAGCAAAATGGGACTCCCTAAAGTGACCCCAATTAACCCCCCTTTTGGAGGGGCTATGAAACCATCAGGTGGCCGGGCAGAGAAAGAAGGCGAGGAAATGGCTTAAGCAGATCACATACTGGTGTCCTGCTAGACATTCATTACTGGCCAGCTTTCTGTTCTTTGCTGCTGTCATGCAAATGAATTTCCTAATGACATCCCCGCTGGCTCAATTTCGGGCACAAATCATCTTTGAGCTTTCCGTCTTATCAGCCTGCTCAGGGACAGCTCTTGTCCGCTCTGGGGCTCAGTAATGAACAGTCACACCACTGCAAAAGGCCCTTCAGCCAACGCAGCCTGAAAAGGACAATGTTGGGAAGATGGAGTCCATCTTCCTTTCCATTTGGTTCCTTGTTGAAACTTTGAGGACATGACCGTCTAATCATCGCAGAACCAGGATTCTTCCAGGACTTTAATCGGAGCCCAGAGGCTGCAGTGCAGGAGATGCCAGCAGGCCACGAACTTGCTCATTCCTGAGCAGCAACTAAAAGTCAGCTAATAAATAAGCAAAGGAAAGGGACGTGCCTCTCTTTCCCTAGGCAGGGGGCCACCCTGCACAAATCGAAGCAGGCTGTGCCCACAAGAGCAGGAGACTGTTTGGGGCAGCAGCCTGCAAATCTTTTCTGGAGAAGCTAACAAGGCGCCTGAAGCCAAATCAGGACCTGGCATTCAGAGGCGTCCCTGCCACCAACAGGGAGGCAGAGCAAAGCCAAGGAGTCTCGTAGCCATCAATAGCCCTCTCCTCCTCCTCCACGAATCTGCTTCATCCTTCTTTAAAGCAGTCCAAGCTGGTGGCCGTCATGGCGTCTTGCAGGAGCGCAATCCATAGCTTAAGCATGTGTGAAGAAGGACATGCTTCTGTCTGTCTAGAATCTCCCCCCATTCTGCCCCACTAGCCTGCCAGCTTCCCCTGGAGTCCAAGAGATGCAGGCAAGAGAGAGGGGTTTCCAGAGTCAGAAGAACCGCCTTTGGGGATGCTGAATTCGCTGTGCCACAACATTTCTTTTTGTAAGAGGAGAAACGACGCTGCCGCCTTGGGCCTCCACCATGCTGCGGAGCTTACCTCATGAAGGCAGGTGTACTGGACATGGTAAGGGGCCACCTTTTCTTCACCTTTAATCTCCACGTTGATCTGCAGGCGGATGGCACCGGACACGGCAGACTTGTCTGTTCTTTTTTCTAAAAGGAAAAACGAGCCCATTTTCAAGAGGGAAACCCTGAGCCTCCCCTAACATGGTTTGGGTGTCCACAAAAGCACAGCAATGTTGGCTGGAGGAAGAAAGGGGAGCGGCAGCCGGAGCCAACCCTGCGAGGGTTAAGGTAAAACAAACAGCTAAACACATTATTAAGAGAAACTAAATAATAACTTAAAGATGGAGCAATGTGGAAAATTCAGGGTGGAAATTTTAAAAAGAAACCACAAAAGTGGGGGAGGGAAGTCGAATATATGTGTACAGCGGACACTCGGGTTGCGAATGTGATCCATGCGGCATGCACATTCACAACCCACAGCGTTTGCAACCCGCGTCTGCACACGTGTGGCTTGCACTTCTGAGCATGCGCAAAGCGCGATATAGCGCTTCTACACATGTGCGACCGCTGAAACCCGGAAGTAACCCATTCCAGTACTGCCAGGTTTCAATGGTCCATAACCCGAAAAAACGCAACCTGAAGTGTCTGTAACCCGAGGTATCATGTTTGCAACCTGAGCATCCACTGTATGTGATTTGTGTCTTTGTAATTTGTATGTCTGTAAGTCTTTGAAAAACCCAAAAAGAAGAAGAAACCTTTTCTTTTAAAAAGCAGAGTTAACCCTGCGCTCTGTACTGCACCCCTTCCCCCATTTGGGGGCCTCTTAAAAGACCAGCGTTGGGGCTCTGCAGACAGAGAGCTGTGCCAGCAAGACAGCCCTGCTCCGGCCTGCCTGGCTCACAAGCAAACTTTGCAGCCCATTCTCCATGCTCTGCAGCCCTGTGTCCCCTCGGTCACTGCAGTGTCAGTGGCAGGATCCTGCCCTTGGCTACAAAAGCCTGGAGTTGGAGGCCTTGGGCTTCAAGAAACTGAAACAGCCCTTTGCTCCCAGGGGATCCAATTCCAGAGGAAGGAGACAAGGGAAGAGGCAGAAGGTGGCTTCCATGTCTTCAGAGCCCTGGGATGACTCAGCCAAAAGTGAACTCAAGGATGCCTTGGGAACACCTGCCTTGGAGCTGCCCATCAGGAAGATGGAGAACAGGACAACTTCACAGGCTGTGAGAGGAGTAGAGTTCCCTCTGTGACACAGCCAAGTGCCCCTCTCTGAAAGGTCCCCCCCCCCACAAACCTTCCCTCCCCATGAGAGCCCAGGCCAGAAAGCAGGAGACGGCTCAGCAGAGCAGGGGGGCAGCGGAGGACTCTTGCAGGCAAGCAAGCCCTCCCCCCAAACTCAGGCACCATCTGTCTGGAGCTCTCACCAAGCCAGACTCTTCCCCAAATATTGCTGCCTCGTGGGGGTGTTAAGGAGAGGTGTCTGCGGACGGCTTTGCTTCTGCCCACAACACTCTTCTGGGGGAGTCTTCACGGCAGCTGTTCTCTTGCTTGTGTGCGCAGCGAGAGGCAGCGGATCTGGGTTCTGAGCCCAGTCAGAGGTTGCAGTCACTCCTGGCAGTGCAGCCGAGTCAGAGCTCAGAAGGCAGCCCTGCAGGGAAGGGCTCAGGGAAGCCACTTCTGTGTCCTCTCTGCCAGACTCTGAGAGGGCTTCCAGGTGGAAAGATTTTGCAGCTTGTATTTTTGAGGCAACTAAATTATTGGCTGAGCACAGACTGAAGTGGGTCTCTCTCTGTGTCTCTCTCACACAATTTCCCTTTATTCTTGAAGGTAGTCTGTCCACATGTCTACAAAGCTATATTTCCAACTGAAGCGAAGCAGCGTAGGCCCAAGAATGTTGAACCTGCCTACAAAGCAGACGTTCTACCCCTGAGCTACGCCCCGTTTCCCATTCAGCATCTGCCTAAATGCCAGCAAGCAAAGAGGTTTCTTACCCAGGTTGTACCAGACGTCCATCTCCCCACTGAGGGTTCGCACCTCAATAATGGTCTGCCCCAGAAAGTCATCAGACTCCCGTTTCAGCCTCTGTTTGACCCGGGACTTGATGTCGTCGTCTTCGTCCCAGACCCGCACTTTGATCCGATCGGAGGAATTATGGCACTCACTGAAAGCAAGCCAGGAAGAGGAGATCATGGGCGTGAGGAGGCTCCCCAAGGCTGCCTGGGAGGGCGGGGAGAACGGCCCCCTTCCTCCCTGTGCAGTGCGGGACAGCAGGGGACGGAGTCAAGATAACAACAACAACAACAATTTATTATGTATACCCCGCCCATCTGACTGGGTTTCCCCAGCCACTCTGGGCGGCTTCCAACAGAATATTAAAAGACAATAACCTATTAAACATTAAAAGCTTCCCTAAACAGGGCTGCCTTCAGATGTCTTCTAAAAGTCTGATAGTTGTTTTTCTCTTTGGCATCTGGTGGGAGGGCGTTCCACTGGGAGGGCACCACCACCGAGAAGGCCCTCTGCCTGGTTCCCCGTAACATCACTTCTCGCAATGAGGGAACTGCCAGAAGGCCCTCAGAGCTGGACCTCAGTGTCCGGGTAGAACGATGGGGGTGGAGATGCTCCTTCAGGTATACTGGACCGAGGCTCCAAGAGCTCCAAACGAGCAGCGCACCAGCCTAAGTCTCAAGATGTTCAAGGAGGGAGCGCACTGTCGTGTAGCTCAGTCTCCTGCCTTAAAAAAGTATCTCCCTCACTCCTCCACTGCCCCAAATGCCCTCTGCTGTATAAGGCTCAGCTTTCCTAAAGAAATGCACCATTTGCTGAGGAAAGGAGGAAGGATTGAGGGATTCCAGGCCAAAGGAAAAAGATGCAAAGCCACCACTTTGCATCCTTCCTCACATCCAGCTGAAATCTTGCACATATAAGCTGAGCCCGCCAGATGACGTTTCCCCACCCAGAAGGGCCTGGAGATCTCTGCCAGCTATGAGGTTGGGAGACCTGAGACTTCTCAGAGGGAGACAACTGGCAGAGGGAGCTGGGCTCTGCCCGGCAACCATCTCTTTCCCAGGCAGCTCAATATGATGTTTCCTCAAGATGTGAAGACAGGCTGCCGTTTGCTTTTCACATCAGTTTAAAGCCATTGAGTCTCCAGTCGATACAAAAACAACCCTGCGTGTGATCTTGGCACGGAGCGTGGACAATCCCCAGCATAAGCTGAGCTCATTCCCAGGGGAAAAAGCTGCAACCCTCTTCCTTGATCCTGAATCCCCACAGGAATGCTCTTTCGGAACCTGTCCGCACGGCTGCTTATTGCGACACAGGTAAAAACCACGTGACATGAACATTTGCCACTCCTGCGGCTGTTTCCTGGGGTGCTACACTGAGCAGAAAGGAACCAAGCCAGCATCTCACAGCTTGCTCTTGAATCCTTATGGCAAACCTGCTTCCCAGAGGCACGCAGCCTTTTCAGAAGTCATTCTGGAAGCAATCTCTGGTGTGCAAATGCGATATTGAAGCCAGCCTGAAGGTACAAGGGACAGAGGATGCATGCGTTTGGACTAAAGTCATTTTTGGGTCCACCTCTCTCCCCGCAGCCCCAAAACAGGTGTGTGTGTGTGTGTGTGTGTGTGTGTGTGTGTAGCAAGACAGGCTGGCTCCTGTGGCAAATGTCTCAGCTCACAAAGGGCAAGCGACAGAAAGGACGGAATGAAAGGCAGAGGCCCAGGTGGACCCATGATGGGAACAATTACTCATCCTAACCAGCCCTGGCAACTACCCAGCCTGGGGAGGAAAACGCACGACCTGCCTCATCGCAGAGCCTGTGCTCAAGGCTTGGGATTTAGCCTTTTTAAGAATGCACCATCTGTTGCCAAGCAACCCGAAGAAAATGAAGAAGAAAGTGAAAAAATGGGTCATGGGCGAACTGCGAAGCTCCTGTCAATCAGGACAGTGGCATTTCCCTCGCTCTCCCCCAAGCCTTTGCGGGGCCTCCAGTTGCCTCTGACCTCTAACTCGGGATCCATTAATTGACACCTTTTAAACTCCTGGCAATTTGTACGGCTGAGAGTGAATTAAATGAGAGACGTTCCCAGGGAGGCTGCCCTCCATCTGAAACCTTTCTGCCGTCAGCTCCCACTGGGAAGCAGAGCTCCATTCGGACTCACGGAAGGCCTCTCTCTGACTGTGCTCCTCTCGCTCCCCGGGGGTGGCGCTGCTCTGCCCTCTCTGCCAAGTGGGTGGGCCAGGGGGTGCCACCTCTCTTTTCGGGCTTAGAATCATAGAAGTGCAGAGTCGGGAGGGACCCCAAGAGTAATCTAGCCCAACCCCTGCAGTGCAGGAATCTCAACTACTCTGGAAATGCTGCATCAAGCAGGCTTCTCGAGAGTCAAACACACCAGTAGTTGGGGTGTGTGTGTGTGTGTGTGTGTGTGGAGAGAGAGCCTGAGACACATATAATAAGCCCAAACACTGTGTTTCACAGAAACTCCAGTTTCTCCTTTTAGAAACCCCCATCCAACTTGGACTCCCTTCTCTTTGAGTATTTCTGAGCATGGGAATATCACCCAGCAACTCCTTAAGCTTTTTGAAATTGGCCTTTTTAGAGTCCAGAGTGCAGGCTGGACCTCACCTTCTTGGCAGAGTTTGCCTTCCAACAGATATCGGGGAAGCTGAAGTCTCCCATGACTTCTATATCTCTCTTTTCTGAATGGTTGGTAATCTGCATCACCCAAGCCTTCAGTCTGGCATGGAGGTCTACAGCAGACACCCCCCAGTAAGGTGCTTCTGTCTCCTACAGTTTTTACGCCTATACTCTCAATCTGTTTTCTATGCTCCAGTCATGTATTTCTTCACAAGTCTACACATCCTTCACACAAAACGCGACTCCTCCTCTCTCAGAACCACACTCTGTGCATTTTTAACAGGATGACACTGCAAGTGGTCAAATGTGGTGGTCTCTCTCTGCCCAAGTCATGCCAATGTTCCAGAAGCTGCCAGGCATGGTATACTTCCAGCCACGTGGCAATGTCGCTGGGTGCTTTGTGGGGAGGGGGAGGGGAGTTAGCGGGGTACTTTTGTGATATATTTATTCCTTCGCTACCAAAGCCAGTCCAGCTGCTACAAGAGATGAGATGCCTCCCTGCAGCTGATGATCAATATCAGGTGTAGATGAGGCAGCCGCATGTAACAGTTTTGATTACCATTAAATCCTCTCGAACTAGCCAGCTGGGTGGTTAACTACAGTGTCGCTGCTTAAAAGCTTCCGCCTGGCTCTGTAATCTTTCTTGCAGGGGCCCAGCCTATTATCACGCTCAGCATCTCACCGAAATCCTGTGTTTATGCGTAATTACTCCCCTGATGAGCTGTGCTTTCTGATTCCCCCTTTGAGACAATTACATCTGGAGACGTCAGCAGAGGTTCGGCGTGCCCATGTCTCGGCTTTCCAGCTCATCAGCTCTTCTGCTTTCCCAGGTGCTGGCATTGAACGGGCAGCGAACGTCCTGAGGAAACTGGCTTCTCAGCCCAGGGGGAAGAGAAACTCCACTCCCGGTGCTGAACCTGCCCTGGGGTAATGGGAAGGGTCACTGGGTGGCAGCTGGGATGTTCATGCACCCCTTTCAGCCCAACACAAACCATCTCTCCTCCATTCATGCTCTTAAACCTGGAGGTGTCTCCACAGACTATCGACGGGTTGCAGAATACTTTGTAAGGAACCCATCAGGCCTCCTGTGGAGAATTCTAAAGAAAGACCAGGAAGGCTTCCTCACCCATCCAAGCAAAAGCTTAGTCTTTGTAACATGCGCAATTTTCTTGAAAACACAAACTGCATCTTACACTCAGAATGGAGTGAGATCCACCAGCTGAGCTGCTCTAGCTCACAGAAAACCCACTTCATCCATTTTCATTCAAACTCTGCTCTCAAGGAAGAAGAGCCTTGGCAGCTCAGATAGCCGATGAAAGTACCAAACGAAAAGGTCCCTTGGCTGACACTTAGGGATCTTCTGGGGGTAATGGGGCTCCTTTGCCCAGGGAGGGAAGAGGCCAAGAGGAGGAAGGGAAAAGCTGGCCAACTGCTGTTGAGGAGGAGACCCTTTTAAAGAAGCTGAGCGCCCATCGAACAAAGCTGTTCTGCAGCAGCCGTCTCCGCTTTAGGTTTAGCGTTAATTAAATGTGAAACGACAGCAGCAGCAACTTGAGGGCATCTCTTGTTAACTTGGCAACCACTTTGCAGACTAACAAAGTCCTTAGTGGCAGCTTTCCGTGCTCTCTAAGTCACTGTGCTGCCCGCCAGGTTTCATAGCACTTGGGCACAGATACAGGGGTTGCACTGTTAACCAAGAAGCACCCTGCAGGCACCCTGATGCCCTTCCGAAAACAAGCTGAAGGGAGCATAATCCCTCTAACCAAGACATTTGGGCATCTGAGGCGAACCACAAAATGGTGCCTCCTTCCCTGCTTGGGAATAAGGGCTGAATGAAGATCTACATCCATAACAAGGGGGGGGGGGGAGATAAAGATCTACATTGGGATCTGCTGCACTGTGGATCTTGCCACCCAAGGTGGTTGCCTCACCTTGCCTCATGGGTGGGCCGGCCCTGCCTCTAACAAACAGAGAACCAGAGGCCCATATAAGTTTCCTTTTTTCCTTTGCCTTGTCCTGAGAGCAGATTACAAATAACCACTTAAATATCATTGATTTCAGTAAAAGGAGCAAAAGTAGAAACAATACTCAAAAGTACTCAAAAATAAACAGTACAAATAAATATAAAACCTGGTAATGATGACGGATCCCAAGTTCTGTTAAAAGGTCAGGAAAGCAGGAGGCTTAGCAGAGAGTAATGAGGAGGCCGGGTCAATGTAGATGAAGGTAGACGAAGGGAACGCAGTGGATGTAGCCTACCTTGATTTCAGCAAGGCATTTGACAAGGTGCCCCATGATATTCTTGTAAAGAAGCTGGTAAAATGCGGTCTTGACTATGCTACCACTCAGTGGATTTGTAACTGGCTGACTGACCGAACCCAAAGGGTGCTCATCAATGGTTCCTCTTCATCCTGGAGAAGAGTGACTAGTGGGGTGCCACAGGGTTCTGTCTTGGGCCCGGTCTTATTCAACATCTTTATCAACGACTTGGATGATGGACTCAAGGGCATCCTGATCAAATTTGCAGATGACACCAAACTGGGAGGGGTGGCTAACACCCCAGAGGACAGGATCACACTTCAAAACGACCTTGACAGATTAGAGAACTGGGCCAAAACAAACAAGATGAACTTTAACAGGGAGAAATGTAAAGTATTGCACTTGGGCAAAAAAAATGAGAGGCACAAATACAAGATGGGTGACACCTGGCTTGAGAGCAGTACATGTGAAAAGGATCTAGGAGTCTTGGTTGACCACAAACTTGACATGAGCCAACAGTGTGACGCGGCAGCTAAAAAAGCCAATGCAATTCTGGGCTGCATCAATAGGAGTATAGCATCTAGATCAAGGGAAGTAATAGTGCCACTGTATTCTGCTCTGGTCAGACCTCACCTGGAGTACTGTGTCCAGTTCTGGGCACCACAGTTCAAGAAGGACACTGACAAACTGGAACGTGTCCAGAGGAGGGCAACCAAAATGGTCAAAGGCCTGGAAACGATGCCTTATGAGGAACGGCTAAGGGAGCTGGGCATGTTTAGCCTGGAGAAGAGGAGGTTAAGGGGTGATATGATAGCCATGTTCAAATATATAAAAGGATATCACATAGAGGAGGGAGAAAGGTTGCTTTCTGCTGCTCCAGAGAAGCGGACACGGAGCAATGGATCCAAACTACAAGAAAGAAGATTCCACCTAAACATTAGGAAGAACTTCCTGACAGTAAGAGCTGTTTGACAGTGGAATTTGCTGCCAAGGAGTGTGGTGGAGTCTCCTTCTTTGGAGGTCTTTAAGCAGAGGCTTGACAACCATATGTCAGGAGTGCTCTGATGGTGTTTCCTGCTTGGCAGGGGGTTGGACTCGATGGCCCTAGTGGTCTCTTCCAACTCTATGATTCTATGTGTCTGGAGCAGGCAAAGAAAGTGGAACAGCCCCACAGAAAAGGCCCTCTCTGCAGTGACAGCCCCCTCTAGCTTCTGAAAGGGCCTGATCCTATCTCCACTGAAAGGGAGGTTATTACAGGAAAAGAGCCCCCAGGCTATAAATAGCTTTCTTGGTTAGAGTCAGCACTTTCCAATGGGAATCAGAAGCCAGTGAAGTTCCCCCAAATGAGTCCCAGCCAATATCTTGGCTGCTGTGCTCTGGAATAACCGACGTTTCCAAATGTTTTGCATAGGCAGCCCCATATATACCGCACAGCAGTCCTCCAACTGGGTGTTACCACAGCATGGATATCTGAGACAAGATCATCCCTTCCCAGAAGGGGAATCAGGAGTCGGTTCTACTTAGGCATCTCTCAGCAAAGCCGGCTCAAAAGGCAGCCCTGAGCTGCCCACAGGGGAAGTGCAGTCCTGTCGTCTACCTTTCATGGTCCAACACATCACCCAACAGCAGCACCTCCACCTTCCCTGGACTGAGCCCCAGCTCCTCAGCCCACACCCAGCCCATCATGGAGCCCAGACGACCACAGCCTCTTCGGGATCAGATGAAAAGGCAGATACCCAAATCCCTGGCAAACCTCCCCTGTCGGTTTCAAGAAGACGTTGAAGAGCTTGGGGGACAAGACAGAGCCCTGCAAAGCTATACTGTACAATCGCCGGAGACTGAGAACCGCCTTCTCAATTCAATAGTCAGAAAAGAGCAGCTCTGCCCTAGCACCCAATCTCCAACTCCCATCTCCAGCAGGTAATTCAGATGATCACCGCAGTTGTACCTCCTGCCTCTGCCAAGCAATTTCACTACACAAACCAGACAAGAAGCCAGACAGCTGGGCCCCTTTCAACTCTCTTTCTCCAGAAATGCCTGTAGGTGGCTGGCTGCCCCCGTCTTGTGCCCCTGGATGCTGCTATCTTGAATCAGGGCTAAATAGATTAAATGTGTATCATCATCATCATCACCACCACCATCACCATCACACTCGCCACCACCATCATCATTAACAACAACAACTTTGGGCCTTTTTATTATTATTGAGATATTTGGCAGGTATTTGCCGCCCCCCAGGTGTTTCGTAAACAAAAAGGACAACACGGGAATCTATGAAAGAGGAGTGGGGAAAAACAACACACAAATACTTACAAGTGGAACTTTTCATCCCAGATGGGATTCAGGTTCCCAAATATTGTTTTTGTTCTCTTCTTTGTCTTGCCGACTTGGACTGTCACGTATGGGTCACTGGACCCCGTTTTGTCCTTGGCTTGCAGACCTTGCGCACAGACCACTATGGGGAGAAAGGTGAAGGTTCAGAAAAACACATCACTGTAACAAAGCAACACACGAGGCAGTTCCAGGAGCAGCTAAGGCACCTTCACCTCCCCCTTGCTGACCTGTGATGGTGATTTTGGCTGACCACTTGGAGGTACCGTCCAGAACGCTCTGCTTGACCGTCTTCATCTGCTGAGAGTGGGTCATTTTGCTCTCACTGAAGACATCTCTGATCAGGTCAAAGATCTCTGGTTTGTTCCTCTCTCGGATCTTCATGCGATCCTTCATGGCCATGATGATGTTCTGGGTGCGATCCTCGGCCCCATGCTTCGAGCTCTTCTCCGCCGCTCCTGCAAACAATGCGGAAAGGATTAGCAAGGGAAGGCTGGCAAGGAGCTGACCCCTTCGATCTGGCCGGAAAGAGGGCTGGGGAGCAAAACTGCTCTTGGAATCATGCTAGCTTTCCAGGAAGTAGGACCCAACTCAGTTCCCCTAAGCCAGGGCTGTGTGATATGCAAGACTGAGATTCCTGATGCCACCCAAGGCTCAATTGCGATAGCTGTGTAGCAGTCAGAAACAGAGCACTTGTTGCTAATGGGAGAGCCGCATGGGCACAGACAGACAGAAACAGCGTTTATAAGTAGAGGCTGAGTAGGGGGAAAGGGGATCCTGCTAGCCTGTAACTTAAAGGTCTTTTCCTGGCCAGATGACAGAACAACATCCCAGCCTCAGGAGACCGCCCCCCCCATGGCTTCTGGCTCCCCCAGCATCTTGCGCAGGGTGGTCACAAGGAGAGGGAAGCCTCCACGGAACGTGCTTGCTGCACAGGAACTGGGGGATCCCCTCAGGAGTTTTCCCCCAAGTGCCATTTGCCTTAGTGGAGAAATGTGCACCTTCCTCCTGCTGATGGTATGGGGGACATCTGTTAGGTAGGAGGGTAATGCCTGAAAATGATTTGTTCTTGGAACCCTAAAATAGGCTTTGCGATTTAAAATAAAAACCAGCGTTCCTTCTGCTGCCCAAACATTTCTTGACAGAGAGCCTGTGACGAAACTGGCGCTCACAAAGGCGGCACTTCAATCACCGCCTGAACACTCAGCACCAAGGTTTGTAAAAGGAAGAGAACGAGAATTCCCAGCTGCATCAAGCTGCCCCTTTTGCTCAAACAACCAGAGCGGAGTCGGAAGTGAGCCAGCTCCCAAAGCGGCTGGTTGGCTTCCAGGGCTTGAGTCAAGGATGCTGCAGCCTCACAGCTAAAAGCCCTGCAAGATGCGCCAGGGAGGGGGGCACCCTCCTCTCCCCCCCCTTAACTTCATTAGGGGAAATAGTCTCTCCCTTCTGCTCTGCCGGGGGGGGGGGTTGAGGATGGTTTGTAATGCAGCTCCAGACCTTAACTGAACGTAGGCAAGCTACATGCTATTATCAAATTCAATTCAAAATGGCGCAGAACTGGCACCAAGATAAAGTGTTTGCATGAACTACGACTTAAGAAATAAGGATATGAAACCCAAGAAAAGGGAGCATCCAAATGGCAGAGTCTGTTTTCAATCCTTTGTTCTCCTGCAAGAGGATCCCAAAGTGTACAGACTTTTATGTATGCCCAAATAATGCTCCCATGGCATTCATGGCATACAAGCAACTGTTCTGAGCCCCTGTGAACCATTGCTCCTGCCCTGAGAGGAGGCCGCAGTGTCAGCAGCTGAGGCTGGACCAGGTATCTGGCTCCCAGCTGGATGCCCAAGCACCTACAGAACCAGAGTCTGGACCATCCTGGGCGCCTTCTCCCGGGGGGCTCAAGGAGCCCAGTGCCTCCCCTGCTGCCTAGACAGTCTGACAGCACCAGCCATGGAGTGCAGGAGAAGCGCTTGTGTTCAGACCACAGAAGGTCTACTACTCCAAAAGGGGTCAGTACCTTGGAAGGGCAGATTTGTGGGCTTGAAAGGGCCACAGTTCCACCTCCAACCCTCTTTGGAGCAAGTTGCTCACTGGGAGCTCTCCTTGGTGCTGCGGAAGCCCACCTGCCTTGCTCCACCGGCTCCTCCTTGGTTGGGATCACAACAATGCTCACTCACAGCCACTTCAAGTCACAGATAGAAAAGGGAACCTGCAGAGGAACAGACTTGACTTCTGGTGGGAGTGAACTTGCTCCCTTCTCTAAATGTTGACATTTGCAGCTGCAGACTCTTGCCATCTAAATTACTGCACAAACTTTGCTGCTTCTCCGGGCGCAAGAGTTCTCATGCAGCAGAGAGGAAGACACAGCAACAGACATGGCAAGGATTCGGCCTAAAATTTGTCCAGTGCAGGACACTCCCTCTAAGTGCTTTGCCAAGGTCCTGGACTATGGTCTCTCATCTCTGCCCTGTTCCACACACCCCACAGATTTCCTTTCTGCATTCAGAAAGCAGGCCTCTTGACAAACCATGGTTGTGATTCAGATGAATAATATCAAGCAGCAATGACCTGTCTAGTTCAACTCTAGGAAAAGACAGGCTGAGCAGGCAGCCTCAGCAAACTGCCAGCAGTGGGTCAACTCTCAGAAAACCAAACCAAAATTAGGCCTCATAGCTTCCCTGCAGGATTTGCCATCTGGGCATCAATGCACCTGCCACACCTGTTGCATTCAAAATGTGAGATTTCTATTTCTGTGAAGCTGCAAACCAGGTGGACTTCTTTTTCTTTTTTACCTCCCTCACAGAGCCATCTGTCCTTCACAAGACAAAGGGGGCAATTTGCACACACAAAAACAAGCGGCAACTCCTCCTGGGACTCCATGCTTGAAATGATATTCAAAGTGATCCACCGAGACCAAAAAGCTACTTGGCTAAAACATTCAGGAGCCAAGAGCAGAGGCAAGAAAGGAAACACAAAGCCAGGCTGAGTATTGATGTCCTTCCATCAAGGGAGAGGGATGGGGCCAGCCCAGAACAAAGCTACTGCCCAAAGTGCCAGCTTTTCTGAGCTTTAACTCTTCCCAAAGACAGGAGGCCAAAGCAGTCAGAAGCTAACAAGGAAACAGCTTGTTTTCTCCACGGAGGGGGAAAGAGACCTCTCCTCCAAGAAGAGAAAGACAAAAACACAGCTTTCTATTTGTGATACAGACAGAAACCCACAAGAGTAAACTTATTTTATTTTGGCTTTTCCTTCAACAAAAAGGAAAAAAAGGAGGGGCCCTCCCAGGACAGCTGACATCAGTGCACAACAGTGGACTGTGTCAGATCCAGAGGGGAGGTTACCAAGCAGTCAGATGCTCTCAGTCTAGAGAAGACACAGCTGTCTGCAAGGTCTTCTGGCCCCTGAGGTCACTTGGGTCTCCTGTGCCAAGGCTGGGTTGAAGGACATCTCCACCTCCTGCAGGGCAGAGCTGGCTCACCTGCATGTCCCATGCCAGATGCTGCTGGACTCCAACTCTCCTGCGCCCCCAGGCCCCATGGGACGAGGGGAGCTGTAGCCCAGCAACACTTGGGGGGGGCACCCATTACCCAGCCCCATCAGAGCAGACGAAGCACCATCACCAGGGAGACCCAACAGTGTCTTGACCGCTGTTCAGAATCTCAAGAGCCTTCTCTCCATTTCCTCGCCCCCATTTTTTAAGCCTTTCCATTCATTTGCCTCATTCCTCAAAAACAAGCCACTGAGAAATGCAACGAACGTGGCTGCCCTACAGCCCGCCTCCTCTACCCCTAGCAATTCTTGCCCCACAGGAAAGGGAGGGGCTACTCACTCTGCAGGCAGTCGGCATTCAGCAGATCTTGGCACTTCTCGTGGCATTTGACCCCACACTCTGTGCAGCGCATCCCTTGCCGTGCGATGCCCCACAGCAGCCCCTCGCACTCGTAGCAGTAGGTGGGGGTGGTGGCTGTCCAGACCTCAAAGTTGTGGGGGGTTGTGCAGGAGATGGGGTAGATTAAGGCTTGCAAGGTCTTCTTATATACATGTGATTTCTGAAAGAGGAAGGCACAGGGAGTCACGGCCTGCGCAGGGGAAAGGCTTCAGCACGAGTGGTTGCAATTGTTTCATTTAGGGATCAGGCCCCGTTTTCTTGAAGGGACAGAATACGGGACCCTGCCACACCTGCCAGATTTATGGGATGCCTGCCGGGGTCAGCCCTGAAGCAGAGCCGCCCTTCCAGGCAGCGCGCAGAGAGCAGCACTTACAGCGAACAGCTCCTTGCCAAACTCAGCAAGGACGTGTTCAGGGCCAGTGTTTCCAAACCAAAAGAGGCCAGGGGGGGGGGATACTTCATTGCAGGAGAAGAGCTCCTTGTGTGTGCTAGCTGCCCCTAGTAACCAAAGCCAGAGTGGTGGGGCCTGATCCACGTAGGCTGAGCAAGCAGAGCCCTCCTCTCCTGTGAGCTTCCTTTCAACAAGGCCCGGCAACTGACCAGGCCAGCAATGCCTGCATTGTGTCGTGGTGGCAGCGTGTGGGGAGCCCTCCATGGCCCCCGCCCCATCGCCCCTAAGAGCTGGGCCCTGGGCAGCACTTTCAAAGGACAGGCAAGGAGCAGGAGACTTGATGGAAGCAGCAGCGCAAGAGCCGCTCTGTTCCGTCTCCTCAGGTGCTGCTGCTTTTCCTTTCAGCAGTCCCACGTAGGTAATTAACCGCCCCCCCCCCCGGCACACACCCCATTGTTCTTGTAATGGCTGTTCTGTGGGAGCAAGTTCAGCTCTCTTGGCTGCCTTTGAAAGTCTCCCCCTTTCATGCTATTTTGATCTCGCCTGTGCCAACGAGGGCGGACTTTCCACGCCAGCTTCGCTCTGAGCCGGCTTTTGTGCTCCACGGAGAGCGTGAGGGGCACTCGGACCACAGGCCGGGGCCTGCCAGAAGGCGGAGGCGAGCTCTCCGGCTCCCTTACCAGCTCCTCGTCCTTGAGAGAAGTTCGGGTGGCCATGGCTGAGGTAATTCCGGCCTTCCGGGACTGGACCAGCGACTGGGAAAGAAAAGCAGCCTCAGTTACTCTGCACCCTTGTGCTTCTTTCCAGAGCATCGTTCACAGCTCAGGGTGGTCTCTGCGCATGTTGCTGACCCCCAAGTCAGACGCCCTGAGCTCCTTGAAGGGAGGGCAGGAAGCCAAACTAACAGGAGTGCAACAGGAGAGAAGAGGCTTACGTGCTCCAGCAGCCTTGCCTGCTCTGCCATTCCCACCACAACTCCTCTGCCCCTGAGAGGAAGAGTTGCTAGTCGGCCCTTCCTCGTGTCACAGGCAGGGCACAGAAGGAAGGTCCAAGGGGATCACATAAAGGGATCCAACAGACCTACTGAATCCAGCCTCTTGCTTGGGAAAAAAGGCAAGATGTACCCAAAGGATCCCCAACAGATAGATTTTTGCCCAACGTTTTGAGGGCAGCCTTCAAGGAAGCTGACCTCTTCCACTGCAGGATACAGTTTGGACCTTCCCCGCAGGCTGTGGGTGGGGGAAACCAGCAATTCTCCTCCGTGCAAGAGAGACCACCGGGACCAGAAGGGGCAGGCACCACGCATGGAGGGTTGAGAAAGGGAGAAGTGGGCATGCATGTCTGGATCCGTCCGCATGCCATGTTTGGCAGCCACTGACTGAAATGAGCTTGCCCACTGGCTGCTCCCACTGCCAAGTGCACAGGGGGCCAGGAGGCGGATCAGGGCCTCATCCACGGAGCCCCTCAGGCAAGGTGATGATGCTCACTCTGAAGGTGGCCCAAGCCCCCAGAACTAGGGCCATTTCACAGCAAGACTGTGTGGGATCCTTAAGGCACTGATGGGCAAGGAAGGGGATTGGGGCAGGGTATCTCCATTGAGCAAGCTGCAGAAATAAACAAAAAAAAGGGGGGGGAGGGAACAGCCACCAGAAAGGGAAATGCAACTAAATAGGTGGTTGTAGGAAGGAGTGTATGGTTGGATCTCCACTTACCATGGCCTGTAGGAAGAGAATGTCAGCATACAAGAGAAGCATAACAGGTTAATTCCATTAGTCCCCCCATCACTAAAGCTACAAACACATTGCCCAGGCTTCCTCTTTGCAAGGTTACAGATGCAATTCTCCAGTTAGCTATTATTCTACACTGTGTGGATTAAGCAAGACTGATCTTGCTGCCAGTGCAGAAACTAAGTCCACGGTTTCCTTTCCTTTTGCAGAAATGTTTAGGAAGTACTACTCCCATCTCAGTGTCTAGAGGAATTGGTGACATTGGCCTTGGTCAATGCTACTGATAAGGAAGTGGAAGGACTCTTGTGCTCATCTAGTGTGTTCCTGAAATCTGTTGTTAAGTCTCAGGAATGTTAATCGAAACCTTTCTTGCTTTTAATTGTGCAGCTCTGAAAAACTATGGAAGCCTTATAACCGACCAGTGGCATAGCATGAGTTGCCAGAACCCAGGGCAAGGCAAGTATCCTTGGCACTGCCCACTGATAGGGTGGAACGAAGGGGCAATAGCTCGGTGACCTACCTGAGTGGCAGCAGCGGTGCCCTGTGAGTATCAAGTATGGCGGAGAACAGGACAGGGGATTGGTATCTTTCTAAAGCCCTTCAGGGGGCACCCTAGCAACCAGCTGTAGCCCAAATCCTCTCCTCAGTCCACCCTGTGAACTTTGGGGAATTTTCTGTGTGAGGGGGAGGGACTACGACTGATTTATTATTGCTACTTTTTCTTTTCTTCCTTTCAAAATTTTGCACCTTAAATACTTTTGCACCCAGGCCAGCTGCCCCTGTGACCCTGCCCACCACACTATGCCACTGTAGCCAACCAAATGGCACGATTCCTCTATATAAAGAAATCTCCACAGCTTGTTTGCCATCCCCTTTTCACCAGTTTCCAATACATGAGGCAAACACCCAAAGGAGCCATTGTTCAGAACAAGGCTCTTCCTGAGGCCTAGGTTTAAACCTGCTGTATGTAGCCAATTCTCTTTCCAAATTTGTACCCCCCTCTTAGAGCACCGCCCCTGCCTTCACCCACTGCCCACGACTCCCGCTTTGATGTTTTCTGGTGTGTTTTGAACAAAGATTTACATCGCCTTGATTTACTGACTCTGATAATCTCTCCACCGCCTTTCTCTGCCAAATGCAAGGCATGAAAGCCAGCCCTTCAGTCATGAGTGAGGCCTCTCTTCAAGAAATCAGTGTCGGATTGGGTGGAAGAGACAGAGCAAGAGACCGTGTCATTTCCAAGTTGCATGTGGCACACAAGACCCTGGGAATGCTGAACGGCGGAAGCAGCATATAAAGCGAAACAAGCAAGACTTGAAAAGGGGACAGTCTGCAAAATACATCCACACATTTGTTTCAGAGTCTACAAAACAGAGGAAATGCTTGGGGAAAGATTTGTCTCTTCCCCGCCTTCCTCGCTTTTAGCTTAGCTGGACTGAGGGCAGGAGGCTGCCATGCAGAGGCCTCTGGAGAAAACTTGCTCCATCAAGAAGCTGCAGCTTTTCAAATGAGAGTTTGCCAGGAATCCACATTATCCAGGTCTAACTCATCGTAAGAGTCTTGTTCCTATAACATTTCTGCACTTGAAGGAGAAGCAGTAAATACCACTTCCATTATATTCCTGGAGGGGAGATGGGGGGCAGGAAGTCTCACCAGGTCACTGACAAGCGGGGTGGGCTTCTTCTTGCGCAGGTCAGGCATGCTGTCGATGCCATAGAGACCCCCGGCTGGCCTAGAAAGCAAAGGGGGAAATGAATGAGGGCAAGCAGTGATGGCACGCCACAAGTTATCATCCGTCAGCCTGATGCTCTTGAGGGACCCAGGTGAGGCCTCCTGCAGACTTAAGACTCACGCGGCCAATGCAGGATCTTGCCTTGGCCTGGAGAAACCAACACCTAAAAACACATCAGTTCAACAAGGCAAGAAATGCTCCACGCTACAAGGAATAACCTTGACGTGACTGAATGCCGAGCGGCTTTTGTGCGGCTTTAAATCTGTGAATTATTCCCGTCAGTTCAGGTTACACAGCACAGGCGCCCCTGACAGTTCTGAAATCAAGGGCGCCTTGCTCAAATCCACCCCATGTACAAATTAAATCAGGTTTTGTTCTCTTCTTTCCTCCAAAGAGGCATGGCAAGCGGCAATGGGGAAGGTGTCAGAATTCATCAGGCCGTCATGGCAGCACACTCTTTGAACTCCAAAGAGCCACAACAGGAAAGCTCTTCAGACTCCTGTAATCTACATTTTAAAAGAGAAAAGTATCTGCTCATCAGGAGAGCCAGCGAGGAGGAGGAAGCCCTTCCCATTCCAGACCCCTCTCTCGGATGGGGAGAAGATTCTCTGTGGATTTGGGATGAGAGCCTTAGACAGGTTTGGGCTTCAAAATGATCTGATTCTAACCTGTGGCCCTCCAAATGCTGTTGGGCTGCCATTTCCATCACCTCTGCCCATTGGGGCAGCAGCAGGAGAGCAGAAGAGTCTGGCTGCCCTACAGGCCCAATGCCTGCCTCCTTTCCCTCGGTGGCAAACTGATTTGGACCTCATCAGGGAATAGGCAGAGCTCGCATTTTGTGGCCCAATCGGTATATAGAAGCACATGTGCTACTTTAATGGCATTTGCCTAGTTTGGACATATTCTTTTCGGACTCCTCACAGCCCTGTTTCCTTCTTTCCTCCCTGAGCCATACATGGCATCACCACCCCGGGCAGATCACTTAGGAGCACGTTAAAAAGGCCCAATTCCTTCACACACCACCCTTTGGCAGTGAGGCAGGCAGAAATTCTGGCAGGCAAAGGAAAAATGCAACCATTTCACTGCTCTGGAATCCATCTCTGCAGCCTCCCTGTTGCGCTGCAGGTGAACAATAACACGGAGTGAAGCTGTCAGCGAAACTTTAAATATTGCTGTACTAAGTTACATATATTTCACATTGAATAACTCCGGGGAGTGTGTTATCTGCACTGTGCTGGAAGTCTATTGCCCTCAGGAGAACGCTTGTCAGCTTTGATAATACCTTGTCACGCTGATGCGCACAGACGCTTGGAAAAACGTGAGCGGCAAAGTTAGAGACGAGAGGATGGGGATAATTGGCTTGTGCGCAACAAGCACACGGCTAATTATCTCTGCAAAGGCAGCAAGGAAAGGAACCTCAGACCCAAGCCAGGAAGCCTTCACCCAGAAGGGAGACAGGATTCAGGGCACAATACTGCCCCCCCACTCAGCCCATTTCCCCTGGATCCAGCCCCCCCCCATAGGTTTCCTTCCTCATCTCCCCTCAAGCTGGACGTCCTCCAGTCTCCTGACCCCGGCTCCTTTCTTTCCCTCTCCAGCCGCCCTGCCTTGCTCCTGCCCTCCTGCTCTTTGCTTCCACTTCCATTTGCTCAAGTGTTTTTACAGAAGGGGGGGGTAGAGAAGGAGGCCATGGCAAAGCTTATGGGGCCTAGCCTTAGGGGGTTCTGCAGAGGGACAATGGAGGAGAGCAGTGCCCAGGCTAGCAGCCTTTGGGATCATGTGTCCACACCCCAAAGGCTCCATTTCTGTTATCTATGATGGCAACAGGTTAAGCAGAAAGCCAGAGAAGGTGCCTTAGGGAGCCAGCTCACACTAGGAAGTTAGTGCAAGTGGCCCCAGTAAAAAAGGTTGGTCTCTTGCCAAGGACAGGAGGTGGTGGCGGCGGCTCAGGCAAGCATGGAGCCTCAGCTTCAACTCTCTGTCTGACACCCTCCCTGCAGCCTCTTCTCCAAGGCACCATAATAATATAATAATAATAATTTATTATTTATACCCTGCCCAACTAGCTAGGCTTCCCCAGCCACCCTGGGCGGCTTCCAACAAAATATTAAAATACCGTAATACATCAGACATTAAAAGCTTCCCTAAACAGGGCTGCCTTCAGATGTCTTCTAAAAGTCTGTTAGTCGTTGTTCTCTTTGACATCTGGTGGGAGGGCGTTCCATGACCAATGACGCTGCCCCCCTGCAAGGCACACTTTTGGCCAGGATAACTGCCCAGCCACTGCCCAGGGCCGGCTGATGCTTCCGTTCAGCAAGGGGAGGGTGGAGGGCTTTTGAGTTTTTCCCTAGTTACAGCTGGCATGGCTGGAGTGAAGCATGCTGGGGTACATCTGCCCCTCTTTCAAGGCAGCTGAGTGTGTGCATTTCACAAGCAGCTCATGTGAGGAGGCGCTTCGCACACTCGAAGAAACAAAAACAGTTCCCTTGCCACCTCTGGGCTGATGGCCCACGAACCTCCCAGCACAGGGGGAGTTGTTAAGCAGCGCAGCACATCTGCGGGTGTGGCAGGAGGAGACGAAAGAGAGAAGCCAGCTCGGGAAAGAGGCTCATTGAAATTAAAGCCTCCCCTCGTTTAATTTCATGTTTGATTAGTTTTGCCTAATTCATTGTTTGGAAACCTGATTTATATGCAGGGAGAGAGGCAAGTCAGTCTCAGCAGACGTTTCGGGGTGGAGCTTCCAGTGCCCCCCGCTCAGTCCCGCCGGCTGCAACAGCACACCAGCCCTCGGAGGGAGCAGAATTCAAATATTACAGATCAAAGCCATATGGCTCTCATCAAACACACGAACACATTTAAAATCAAACAGCATGTAAAATGGTGCCTTCCCGTCTTTCTCCTGGCAAGCCTTCAGTTCCTAATGGGGGAAGGCGGCAAGAGCAGGTGCAGAGACACCCAGGAGGAGGAGGAGGAGGAGGAGGAGGAGAGAGATCACACCAACTTCACCAGCTGCCCTCAGAAGGTCCTTTGCAGGGCAGGCGAGAAGCACCAGGCCAGCCCCTTAAGAGAGAAGCTGGTGGGGCTGCAGCCGGATGAGGCACAAGTAGGGCTCCCCACCGTCCCTGCCCTGGCCTGCCCTCCAACTCCAAGGGAAGCAGAAATGGGGTCTGCCAATTCACACCTGCCCACATTTCCCAATGCAGCCACAACCTCGACAAGTGGTTGTGTGCACAGGAACCTTATTTTGCCACATTTCCTTCACGGAAGCGGTAATCCATATGAGCAGTCTATGGTGGGCGAAACCCTCTCTTCCCTCTCTTGCGCTGGGAGGAAAGGAGTCTTCCGTAACCCAGTGACTCAAGGAAGAGGCTGTCCTCTTGGCACAAAGGGGGGGGGGGAGATGAGAAAGGACTTTCTCACGCAGTGCACAGGTCTCTCTTGGGGTACTTCTCAAAGGAACGGCCTCTATGCAGCCTGAGAGAAGCAAAGGGGGCCAGGCTCCCACGACTACCGCTGGGAACCTCAAGGATTTTTTTGGGTGGGGGGGATTCAGCTGTGTGGCTCAGGGAGCAACCTGCAGGCCTGCCGCAGTGCTCAGGGGACTCAGCTACATAGGTGGGCTTGGGCTGGGTTTGAAGCTTTGAGGGGCTGCAAGTGGGGGGGGGGCGTGAGGCTCAGAGAGGGGCTTGGAGGCAGGGACCTCTGGGAGCAGGACCAGACGGGGGGAGAACCAGCCAGAGAGGTGGGGAGGGTGCAGTGGAGTTAAGAGTTTGGGGTAGGGCTACGTTTTGCTCAGAGCAGACCCCCAGAAATGATCTAACTTAGTGTCTGCCTCCCTCCCTGAGTAATTGAAGCTCATGCACTAACATGGAGACTCTGAGAGGCTTGTGTGCCATTATTACTTATTAAATTACTATACTGCCATTCGTCCAAGGATCACAGGGCAATTTACAATATAAAAACAGAAGTTGTCAAAGGCCACTTACCCTCCTTTGAACCACGGTGACTTGGACGGATCGCCATCATCCGGACCCTTAAATGTTTTTTTTTAAGAGAGAGAGAAGGAGAGAGAGAGAGAGAGAGAAGAATTAATTGTGCTGAGCAAAGTTCAAGTCAGCTGCTGAGTTCAAAATCAGGGAGGACATTTCATGCATGAAAATGCACACAAAGCGCTTCATGTTCACTAGCACCTCAGAGGACAGCAGGGAGGCTGTGCTGCCCAGTGGTGTGGACACGGAGGCACACAGGATAGGGGCCAAAAGAGCCTGTTCAGTGCAATGTGCTTTTGAGGGGGAATCAACCCACAAACATTTCTTTTTAAAAAAACAAACCAAGAGTTTGGCAAGAGCAGATCCTACGAGTTTGATTTGAATCTGTGAAGTCCCAATGTTGCCGAGAACATTTCCAAAATACTTATTTATTGAGAGCACACAAACAAACAGAACAAACGGACGCCGGAATTGAGTCACGCATCTGCCTTCCCTTCGGGCCCTCTGAAACCAGGGGAAAGTGCCTGGCCCCACACTGCTTTTCAATCCCTAAGCCAGGAAACAGCCGGGGGGGGGGGGGAGCTTCTGTGAGGTGCCAGAGGAGCCTGCCAGCTGTTCCTGGCACCTGCACCACCAAGGAGCTGCTGCTGCAGCAGCAGCAGCAGCGGCAGCAACCATTTAGTAGCAGCCTGTTTCCTGGAAGAACAAATACATGCTAGACAAATTCCTGAAAAGCCGCCATCCTTGCCTAGAGAGCACAAGGGAACAAAAGGCTCATCCAGGAGAGGGAATGTCTGCTCAAATTCCCCAGCCTGAAGAGAGGGCGAGAGAGAGGGCTCTGCCACCTCCATGGCTGGCTTCCAAGGCTCGCGACACAAGCGGCCCCACAGTCTGTGCAGGAAGCTGCCACCAGGATGAGTCCCAGAATGAGCACCGAGAGGAGGCAGGCTACTTCAGATATTCTAAGGTCCACAGCACTGTTGGAACCAGGGCAGCCGAGCAGTGGAGCAGAGGCAGGCAAACAAACAGTGAAAGGTGAAAGGAGGAGCCCCTTTTGGTCAACTGCTACTTGTTCTTGGCCTCCTCAGTAGCCAACTACCAAGTTTCTGCTAACTGCACCAAGGAAGGCAATCTAACTGCCCTTTGAATGAGGAGTTCAGGAGTTCATGGACAAAGGAGAGAAAGGGAGCTTCATTTCCCCAGCAACACTTTCTCCGGCCAGGCTAAGCAGCACCTTGTCTCAGAGGAGGGCAATTTCCACCCAGACCCCTCCCTGGGAATCCGCGGCTGCCCAGGACTTCCTCTCAGAGGAGTTCCTACAAGAGTAAAGGTGGAGGAATCAACAGGAAAGCTGCCTGCGCCGAGCAAGTCACAGATCCATCATGTGGCATTCAAGAAATCCACTCATGTGAAGGCACGGCGCCAGCGCTAGCAGAGATGACGTGGCCACTTTGACTCACTCCTGTGACACACGAGAAGGGCAGCACAAGTGCTGGCTCACTCCTGTCGTGCTTCTGAACTAGCTGCAGGCATCTGCAAGAACAGGATGGTGGCCCAGACAGACCTTGGGTCTGATCCAGCTGCAGGTCTCCTCTGAGGTGCCAGGGCTTAAGTCTGCTGGCTTTGTGCAAGGATGCAGTCAGATTAAAGCGACAGAACATGTATTTGGTGTCCAGATCGGCAGTCAAATGAAGCAAGCCCACTTGGGGAAGCACTATTTAGACAAACATAAGTAAGGCCACTGGATACACAGCCTTCTCACCCTGGAAACTGTGCATGGAGACTATCAAATCTTAAACCAAAAAGTCAAATGTATGATCTCGCTAAGAAACATGTAGACAAACCTGAATTAGAAACCTGCTTTGCTTTTTACAGAACGTTGCTCTTGGGCTTCATCCCTCTGGTGTCTGACTTCTGAATAAAATGGCTAGAAACGGACAATGAGTCTTTTGAGTTCAAGGTAGCACAAGGATAAAGCCCTTGTTGCTCGTAGCCTGCAGACCCCTAAAGACCGTTTCTGCCCATGAGTTTGCACAGTGTTTCCAAGAAACACAAAACAATTTTGCCCAGAAGCACCAGAAGGAATTATGGCTCTGCCAATCCTTAGAATTAGTAGCAAGTCTTCTGCCAAAGTGACAAACACAAAATAATATTTATATTTTAAGAACTGCTGCCCAAGAGGTAAAAGTTGAGTCTCTGTGACCCACAGATACACACACACACCAGGTAACCTTCCCAAGGCACACAGTACATTTATCCTCTGCTGGGACTGTGAAGAACTGCGTACGCACAGCAGACATGGATTTGCAACGTCAACAAGGTGTTAAGTAGGAATGTTTTCTTCCTTTATAAAAGCTACCTGCACTGAACAGACTCCTCTCAGATCATACACAAGATCAGGAATTCCTCCCAAGACTGTCACATGCTGAACTTGCCAAGAGACTTGGCGGGGGGGGGGGGTACTTCAAGGGTCAGCCAAACAGCCAAGTGACAATTCAACAGGGCATGCACAAATAACACACTGGAGTGTCAAAAGTAGGAGACACACTGGTTAGAATGAACAGTATATAACCTGAAGTTCTCCTCTACTTCCTTCTGCAAAGGAGAAAGGGGTGGGGGGGGACACAAAGGAGAGGAAAGGAGAGTCACACAGTTAACACCGAAAAATTATGCTGTTGACCAAGTTTGGAAAATAAAGCAAAGCAGTGCAGAGATGTAAAATTTCTGTATCACCCCCAAAATCCCTAGTAGGAAAGGTCCATTTAGCTTGAAAAACATGGGCTCAACTTTGTACACTGAAGGTGCTGGAAGGTTGGGGTGGTTATGTTTTTAAAATGAATTTCTGTTGCAGTTTCAATAAAACACTCATATTTCATTTTCTTCTTAGCATCAGCAATATATTGTGGGCATAGAATCTTAATTACAAGTAAACCTTTTAATTAGCATAGCATAGTCACACCTGCCTCGAAATCCACAACAGTACCAGGCACCTAAAAAAATCTTGGCTCACTTAAGAAGTCATGTCCCCTCTCCTTAATGATGACCCACAAAGCTCCAGGGATCCTGAGAGGAGGCTGGCTCCCACATCCCCCTGAGAGGATGTCTTTGAGCCTGGGGCAAAAGGGTCCAGGGAAGCTGTGGGGACACAACATTCAGACAACTTTTTGTTCCATAAGGAAGGGAAATGCCAAATGCTTCTGTTACAAAACTGCAGCACTGTCCCATAAGCTAGTACTGTTAATGAAGAAGGTTGGATAAAACACCACACACTGATTTATCAAGTCTAAATAACAATTCCATCAAATGCTATTGAAGCTTTCTCTAAACAATTTTTTTTAAAAAAAAAAATGCTTTGAGGTCCTGTCCCTCAGGACAAGCAAGCTAGCAGGGAAATGGATATACATACAGCTTTTTAGCAAACCCTTCAATTCAAAACACTCCACTTCGTGTATAAAAAAATGTTAGGGAGGTTATTAGTGGTGCTTGGAACATTTGTTACACCAGGCAGTCCAATGAAAGGCCAATGAGTGGCACAGGCAGGGGGGTCTTTCTCTCTCTCTATCCCTCCCTCCCCACATGACGCACTCTTAAGGCTCAGGCAGACTTCCTTTTGTGCTGCGTTTCTGGGCCCAGGTCTGCACTTTAAAGCTCCATGTCTGAGCAGTTTCGTTTTCTCTTCCCTGCTGCTTTCACAGGTAGAGCCCACATTTTACCAATGAATGAAGCAAACCACAATTGGGTTCCCCGCAGATTGCTATTTGCTCCGATTCAGCAGAAAAATGTGGGTTTTTACTCGGGAGGCGCTAGGACAAAACAAACAAACAAACTGTTTGGACATGGAGTTTAAAGCATGGACCTTTGCCTGGAAAGTGTGGTGCAAAATGAAGTCTGGATGAGTGTTACTGGCAGCTCCGTAGGCAAAGCCCTCGATTCAGCACCTTGGACAGCACCATCTCAGTGTCTCACGGCTACTCCGCTTCCCTCCCCCAAAATCCGATATAGACCAAAGGGCCCCAGGAAGCCGAAATCCAGGAGGGCATGTTCAATCTGATTTAATTTGAGAATAACTTGAGTGTACATGCATCATGCAGTAGAATATGGCTTTTTACTTTTAAGAAAGTTGCATGGATAGTAATTTTAATCCATAATGGTGACTGCTGGCAAAAAAAACCCAAAGCCCAAGTGTGGCAGTTATTGTCCAAAAAGTAGATGACCCTTGGCTTTCAAAAAGTGAAATAAAATTGGGGAGGGGGTTAGGATTATGCCTAGAGAGAGAGACCCATGCCAGAAGAATCCATTTTTCAAACAAAGAGCTGACATACCAGAAACACAGCCAACCATCACCTCAGAAGTTCATCTGAAACTGTCCCAAGGAAAATGCCTGACAGGGTATGCTCTGAATCAAGCTTCTTCATTACAACCAAAGCGCATTTTCTTAGTAAACGTCATCTAGTTTTTTTGGGCATAAAAGAGCAAAGAAAGAATTGGGGACCTAGGAGTCTGAAACATCAGGCCCACCTTTGCCCCGTTCTCTCTCTCTCTCTCTCTCTCTTGCTCTCCTGTTTTAAATTCTAAATCTCCCATTCCCTAATGAAAACATGCACAAAAGGAACACACATGAGCAGTGATTTAACAGGTGGAGGAGAAATGAATCCTTCTCCCATCTGTTTTCTAAAGAGAACTGAAGCATTACTTGAAAAATCTAGCACTAAATTGCTGGCAGATTTTAGCAACTGTTCCCATTTCAATTTTGGTAAATATTTGTTGTCAAATCAAAAGAACAAGAAATTAGGAAAATGAATAGTTTGTCACAAGCTCCCCAATGGCACCACAATGTCAGCCATTTATTTCAAAGGGCTTCTATTGTTGTTCTTAATTGTTACCTGAACACAAAAGGCTAATGTGGTTTGCAGTCAGAAACTGCCTCTACTTAGGTACCCTGCCCGTACGGGCCAGTCTTGACAGACTCTGGGGTTGTGCGCCCATCTCACTCAAAAGGCCAGGGGCCAGCGCTGTCCGCAGACACTTCCGGGTCACGTGGCCAGCATGACAAAGCTGCATCTGGCGAGCGAGCGCAGCACACGGAACGCCGTTTACCTTCCCGCTGGTAAGCGGTCCCTATTTATCTACTTGCACCCGGGGGTGCTTTCGAACTGCTAGGTTGGCAGGCGCTGGGACTGAGCAGCGGGAGCGCACCCCGCCACAGGGATTCGAACCGCCGACCTTTCGATCGGCAAGCCCTAGGCGCTGAGGCTTTTACCCACAGCGCCACCCGCGTCCCGCCTCTACTTAGAAACCAGCTATTCTGAGTAAGATCAAGGTTTCTTATGAAGGAAGATGGCAAATGCTCCAAACTTTTGACAGCCATCAGCAGAAACATCTTCTCTGCCTCCAACCCTAATAAGCTGATTTTATAAAGACCTGGAATAAATTTTCTAGGCCACAGGATGGATGGCTAGGGCATATTAATTTACTAGAATTATCATTACATGGGACCATTTTGTGGTGGGATCCTTGCGTCATAAAAACCACTATTTCCACAGTAATATTGAGCTCATTACAGCCTCAAACCTTCTGCACTATCCATAACTCTGCTAGAGAATTTTACGACCCATGATTTATGAAAATCATTTAAAGTGTTGAAAGTGCTGTGCTGCTTTCCTTTAGTCCTGCAGAGGAGGAAATCCCCCACAACCCTGTTTTAGAACGGCAGAAATCAAATGGCAAGAGGTTTCAACCTGCCCAGAGTGGGAATTGCAGCCAATCACAGCTCCTGCAAGTTTCCCACGTCTTCCTTGCATGCATCTCGCCTTCAAGCATCAAAGAAAAGTGCGCATCAGGGAAGTGGTTGTTCCCCTAATGTGTGGAGCAGCCTTCAGCCTGTGAGTGAGCAAGGATGAGAATCCAGCTCTCCCAAGCCCAACACTTGTTCAACTTGGTGTTCTTCCTTCCGAAGCACAGCTACGACACAACACGTTAAAAGTACAGTGGTGCCTCGCAAGACAAAAAGAATCCGTTCCGCGATTCTCTTCGTCTAGCGGTTTTTTCGTCTTGCAAAGCAAGCCCATTGACAGCTTAGCGGATTAGCGCTACAGCGGTCTAGCGGCTTTTCGCGATCAGCTGTTAAGCGGGTTATCAGCGGAACAGCTGATAGGCGGCTTAGCGGCTTAGGAAAAGGGGGGGAAAGCGGGGAAAAACCCGCGGGGACGCGCAAGATTTTTTCGTCTTGCGAAGCAACCCCATAGGGAAATTCGTTTTGCGAAGCGCCTCCAAAACGGAAAACCCTTTCGTCTAGCGGGTTTTCCGTCTTGCGAGGCGTTCGTCTTGCGGGGCACCACTGTATTTGGAAAACCGCTTTAAGCAGGGAAAGATGAAGAGTTGGGGGAAGACATGAGGCTTCTTTTGGAAAGTGGGAGTTGCTGTCATCCCAGAATCAAGAGCCCTTTCATACACTGCAGAAACACTGAGTGCCTTCCGTGTGTGCATGTGGCATGCCCCATAAATGTGGGAGATGCGCATGCAGAGTACACTACAACTTGATGTTGCCGCTGTGGGAAGCCACTGTGGTTCTGGCCTGGGCGCATGGACTGCAGGGTTCTGAGAGAAGTCATTCTCCCACACAGGGCAATGTGTCAAACTGTCCTAGGAACGATGTTCCGTCTTTGTATACTGCACACAGCAGAAGAAGGAGGGGAGAGAGAGCCTCATCTTTATCCTTGGAGACAGGCGCTGCTGTCCAGTGTGGTGGAGGGGCTACTGTGGGCCCACTTGGGCACAATTTCAGAAAACATGCATCACACATGAGAGTCTGGAATCAGGTGGGGCATTCCTTAGGGGGAAGCTGAAAGCGCCTTTGTCACTATACCCAAGGCAGGTGGTGCCCCCCCACCCCCAAGACATGGTCCTTTTGCAGCTCAGTAGTACATAAGGACCAAAGCAGCTCCCTGAATCTCGCTGGGTGACACTTCTGATGAATTTTGCTTCTGCTCTTCCCCTTTGCTCTCCTTCAAGTCTCCTTATTGCTACCTAAAGTCAAGCTCCACTGTTTACCCTCAAAGGTAAAACACGAGGCCTAACCCAATTGGAATCTCAAGTGCCTACGATCGCTAGGAAGCAGCTCACATGGACCCCACAACTGATTATCATCTGAACAGTCCTCAATATAAACTCCACAGAAGAGGGCTCTTGAAGTAAGGCACATGACAAACATAATGGAGGGTACGATCCACATGAATTCTGCACTCCAACAGAACACCTCTTATGTGGATTTCTCAAGGGGCATTATTACATGGAGGGAAACAGTGCTCTAATGAAGCTCTTCCTTGGAGCTGGTTATTTAAACATTTCAGGCGATATCTCCCAGCAGATTTCAGCTTTCCTGGCAAATTTATATGGGAAATGGCAACTGGCTCCTGGTTCAATTTTTTCCATGAAAGTAAACAGACATGGAAAAGCTCATGCTTCCAAGTGGATCCCCTAAGCAGGTTAATGGAATTGGAAACACTTTCCCAACATGCTTTCAGTTTGCCAAGAAGCAGATCTGAAGTCAATGCCTGCTTCCTTGGAGATAGAACATCACAAATCATTTGGCAGACCTCCAGAAACTGGGTTTGTTTTGGGGGTTTTTTTGCATTTGTTAAGGGTGCAGAGATAGGGCAGCTTTTGTCTTTGGCTCTTATCATCTGCTATCTCTGACCAAACTTCAATAAACCATTTCTATTTAATCATTCTGCCTGCAGCTGCTAAACTTTCTGACAAAAAACGAGCAAGCATTTCACCAGCAAATCTCAAGAACTTTGGGAGTACCTGAATGAATCTCTTCAGCCGAGGAAGTCCAGCTTGCCTCCTGGGCCAGTTCCTTCAAGAGCCTCCGACGCATCTGCCTCTTTTCCCTCAGGACATTCTTGAAGTTGTTGATGCACTTGTTCAGGTAGATGGTCTCGGCACACACCTTCTCGAGGCTCATAGGTCGGCACCCGCTGGGCTGCGCAGGCGCAGAAGCCGGATCCTGCTGGGCCTCTCCAGAGGGGAAGGGCTGCTCCACACAGCTCTCAGAATCTAGAGGGGGCACCAGGTCGGGGACCGGAGCTTCGTCAAGAGGCAATGAAGCACTGGGAAGAGTTCTCTGCATCAGGCCCACACTGTCACTGCTCACAGTCGTGTTAGCCTGGCTCTCAGAAGACTGACTAGGGGGAGTTTCAGCAAAGGTATCCAAGCTGCCGTGCACACTTGGGCTACGGAGGGCAGGAGCTGGCTCATTGTTCATATGGAAGCTCTTTTCCCCTTCAAGGAGGACTTCTGGGTCCCCGGTCTCCAGTTTGTGGAACACCACCTGCAGCGCAGACCGGAAGTGATTCAGTGCTTTGCCCAGTTTGTTAGTGTAAAACCTCATGTCCACGAGGTCAATGCTGTCCCGAGAGTGCTCAAGGAAGTACTGGGAATTTTCTAGGACATCCCTGAAGACCTGATCAGTTGGGTCTTGATCGTTCAGGTCAATCTGGATCATGTCTTTGAGCGTCTCACTGCTGTCAACCAATTTGCGCAGAGGACCATCACAGCTGGGAGTGGTCATGGCCACCGGTGCCTCCTCCAGGAGACTGACTTGCTCAGGACTGAGAAACTCCAGCGTGGTGGCATCACAGTCCGTCTCGCTTTCCCCTGGAGTCAGCCCTCCTGCTTGGTCCTCTTCCACAGGAGAGGAGCTGCCCTTGGTGGCATTTTCAGCATCTGAGGCACGTCCCCCTCCTCCCTCACACAAGGTGGGCATCTTGCCCAAGCACTCTGGGGATGGCAAGGAATCCCTGCCTTTGTTCTCATGCCCAGGGCCTTCCAGCTTCTTGTGGGATGCATCAAGGACTCCAGCGGAAGAGCTGCTTTTGTGCAAAGTCTGCTCACTACTGCCCATTATTTGCACGACTCTCCCCACTTTTTCTTCAAGTTCAGCAATTAAGTTGCTCTTCCTAGGTAGGGTGGATTTCGGTTGAAAGTTAAGCCTCTCCCCTGCGCGGCGGTGAACCTCTTGGCAAGCGTTTTCCTGCTGAGCCTGGCAAGAGTCCGCTTGGAGCTGCCCATCTCCGTCCGTCCTGACCACTTCCCCACGAATGTGCAAGGAGCCCCAGTGCTTCCCACTCTGGCCTGGCAAGGGCAAGGTGCTCAGCTGTGCCCCAGGACCCACCTGGCCATTCTGCTGGCTTTGCTCACTGCTGGCCACAATGGTAACTCCTGCACTTTGCAAAAGAATCGATTTCTGGAGAATGAAGTCTCGCTGCTCAGCGTTAGCAAGCTTTACAACAGCAGGTCGTGGGGCCAGCTGCTTGCCTGTTGCTGCACCAGATCTGTAAGCATCCTTGATGTACTTGCTACGCTGAATGCCATTGAAACAGTGGTACTCTGACAAGAAACGGTGGACTAGCTCCTTGGTGTTCTCCCCCTCCTGCTCTGGGATGCCATAAAAATACAACACTGGCTCTCTGATGGGCCCTCCCAGGAAGGGCTCCCTGGCCTTGGCCTTTGGCAAGGGGGAGTTTTTGCTGGTGGGGCCAGAGCTGCTCTGCAGGCCCTCAATCTCACTCAGAACAGTGTCCACGCAGCTGGAGACTTCGTCCACAGAGCCTTTGATCAAGGTGAGGTGCTGCTGGAGCTCAGCAATCTCGGTCTGGATGCGACTTATCCCTTGGAGCTCTTTCACGATGTACTCAATGACATCGGCAGAGCGGTCTCTGGGCCCAGGGCTGCAGGGAGTGTAGGCGAGGGGCTTGTTTGGAGGGCAGGGCCCTTCCCCTTCTCTTTCCCCAGCAACTCCCCTCCAGCTGGTGCCAAGGCTCAGGGCAGCGAGATCGGCTTGCCCCTCGGGGCTCTCCATTTGCTCCAGAAGGCTCTCTGCGGCCAGGCAGCCAGAGACGCCCCCTAAGTCACACTGACTTGGAACTAACGCCTGTGGGGCTTCGATGTATCCATCCCAGTCCAGCCCACCTTTACTGGCCTCCCTGGTCCCAGGGCTCCTCCCCTGAGCAGCGGAAAAGTCACTGCTGGCAGATTTTCTATTGACGCCACAGACAAAGGTGTCCGTTTCTATTTCCACGAGGGAAAGCTGCTGGTGGTGATTCTGGCTCAGGGAGAGCTCGCTCACCGGCCCTTGCAGAAGCTTCTTCATCTTCTCCTCCAGAAACAGCAGGGCCTTCTGCTTCTGAGAGGGCTGCCCAGTTAGGAGTTTCACAACAGACGTTCTAAGCACAGAAGCAATGTCATCTTCTAGCCTTAGGGTGCCTTTGCCAGCGCACATCCTCAGTGGCCGCGTTGGCACCCTCTCATCATGCCACAAAGCGGCAGAGGCCTGTGCCCCTCACTGCCTGCCCAGCGAGGCTCTCTCGGCCAAGGATTAAGACTCATCAGAAGCTGCTGTCAAGAGAAGGGACAAAGACGCTGTGTATCGGAGTCAGTGGAGAAAAAAGCGACACACACACTCACACACACACACACACACACACACACTAGCTTGGGCCACGTAATCCAACAAAATTGCACCCGTGCAGCAGGACAAATCTATTTTTGCAAGCATGCCGGTATAACCTGCTGTTCCATTTCAGCCTTCCAACTGAATGAAGGTCCTGGGGCCAAGTGGTGAGCAGGAAGGTCTCCCTGACTCTTGCAACAAGTAAAGGATGCCTTCACCTTCAGCCCCCCCCCCCAATTTGCTTTATGAGAATGGTTTCCTTTTCCACCACGGAGACTGGAATTTTATCGAAATTGAAGTCTTAGCAGCAGAGCCCTCTCTATTTATCCCCCTCAGGTACAATATCCTGGCCTATCCATTACCTGCCTCAAGTGCTCCTTGGCATGCAGCCAGCAGCTCTGCCCTGTTCCCTAAGAGGCGCAGGCCAAGCCCGTTCCAGCTTCAAGGTACGTCTTTGTATGGGTGCAGATTTGTCTGTCTGCAGCTATCATTTTCACAAGAAAAATGATGAAAGATCACACAGAAAAGGCCTTGCCTGCATACAGAAGCTTTCTTTTTATAGCTTTAAGGTCATCTGCTAATATCCTAAAATCAGTTAAGGGAAGGCTCAGCAGAACCACTTAGTCCTCATCCCTTAATGAAGATACAGGCAAGTGAACAGAACGTTCTCCCCCTCCCCATGTTGAAGGTTAGATTGCAATCTCCTTGGCAGCAGGAATACACTTCTTTTTATGAATTTAACAAAATTTGCATGCCACTTCATTGCGCAAAAAAACTTAAGCGGTTTGGAAGAAGATAGGTGCCCCTTTCCTTGCTGTTACTCTAGTGGGCACTAGTGGCATGAGATACGTATATAATGCAGAAGACATTTTTATTGGGCCACCTCCTCACAACTGAGAAATATGCAAGGTTTCACAGAATTGAAACCTTGGACAATTACATAATTCTACACCAACTGTGACTGGCCTAGTAAGCAAGAAACTCAGCCACTTTCTGTAACTATTATTTTGCATCGGTAAGAAAGATTTACCATAAACCTGGTGAGAGTTAACATTTGCAGTTGTTCCTTAAAAATAAATAGGGGTAAAATAGTGGGTGCTGAAGAGTCCTGGAGGAGGAGAGGAGCAGAGCCAGGAAGTCCAGTTAAACCCAGTGGCACCACTGAGACCGTGAAAGCTAAGATCCAGGACAAAGAAGGCATTCCCCCTGACCAGCAGAGGCTGGTCTTTGCCAGGAAGCAGCTGGAAGATGGCCGCACGCTCTCCGACTACAACATCCAGAAGGAATCCACCTTCCACCTTGTGCTGCGTCTGAGAGGTGGCTTTTAGGTGTGAACGGAACTCCTTATTTGCAAGTTGCCAATAGCATTTGTTTGCACTGTAGCTGTTTAATGTCTTAATATTGTAAGGTAAATAAAAGTTTAAGTAACTGCTTGACTGTTGGTGTAAATGCTAAATAAAAGGTTGGGGGGGAATTGTATTTTAATATTCCGTTGGAAGCCGCCCAGAGTGGCTGGAGAAACCCAGCCAGATGGGCGGGGTATAAATAATAAAAATTATTATTATTATTATTATTATTATTATTATTATTATTATTATTATTAACAACTGTGGAACTCCCTCCCACAGGAGGCAGTGAGGGCCACCAACTCGGTTGCTTTAAAAGAGGATGGGACAAAATCATGGGGGAGACAGTGATCAATGGCTATGGGCCACGATGGCTATGCTCTGCCTCTGCAGTTGGAGACGATATACCGTATTTTTCGCTCTATAAGACGCACCAGACCACAAGACGCACCTAATTTTTGGAGGAGGAAAACAAGAAAAAAAATATTCTGAATCTCAGAAGCCAGAACAGCAAGAGGGATCGCTGCACAGTGAAAGCAGCAATCCCTCTTGCTGTTCTGGCTTCTGGGATAGCTGCACAGCCTGCATTCGCTCCATAAGACGCACACACATTTCCCCTTACTTTTTAGGAGGGAAAAGGTGAGTCTTATAGAGCAAAAAATACGGTATATGCTTCTGAATGCCAGTTGCTAGAGACACAGGAGGGGAGAGGGCTCTTGTGCTCAGGTCCCTTTGGGGCAACTGAAAAGTCAAGGGAGAGTTCTGAGCAGTACACAGAACAGCCTCATCTCCACACACCGGCTCACAACTTGGGGGACAGTATTCAAAGAAGCATTTAAATACACCCCATCGACATTATTCCGGCTCCTACGCTACTTTTAACCCTGCCCAAAGTAGAAACCCCTGCAGGCTGTATTTCCTCAGCTTCAGATGCTCAAGGACCCTCCTCAAAGAGGGGTGCCCTCTGTCCCAGCAAGCCCCCCCCCAGCCTGGCTCAGCACAGCACGGTCTGCCGACACTCAGCTCCATTCAGAAACTGCTGGAGCAGCGAAACAAAGCCCGCTTTTCCATGCTCAGTATTCAGCATCCCAGAGCAGCGCATTGTGTGAAGCACCGTCTCTTTCCAAGTTCTACTGAAAGCTGTCTGCTTTTCTGCTTACTTTTCTGACTACGGACTGGAAGGCTGGGGCGGAAATCTTAATAATTAAGAAGGCAAGTTTTTTTCTGATGGAAAAAGCTTCAATTTTGTTTAAGAGAAAAAGCCGCCAGACTGCAAAATCTCGTTTCTTCTGAGGGCACATCAATGACAGTGCCACCGCTTCAGCCCACAGAGTAAACAGCCATTCATTTCCAGTGTCAAAGAACACTAACGATCTCTAAGTGACTAAGCACATGGGAGCAGAGGGGGCAGGACTGGAGACGCAGGCATTGGAAAAAGGAAGAGGGGTCTTTACCAAAAGATGGCTGCCCCCCAGATGAAGTTTCACACCTCAACCCAAGTACAGGAACAATCCCCTAAGAGGAGATGCACTCAGGAGGTAGAATATCAAGGGGGGGCAGAGCACACAGTGGCATCTTTCAAAAGGGCACATGGGGGGAGGTCTTGGGGAGCTACAAAAGAAACAACCACCTCTTGGCAGCACGGTATCACAGCAGGGGACCTACGGCAAATAGTCAATAATAAAAAAATAAAATTGGGGAAAACTGGGGGGGTCCTATCTGGGGGCACAAACTTCTGGGCATCATGGAATCACAACAAACCAATTACTCTTTTTTTTAAAAAAAATACCTTTTTTGAGTCTGGAATTCTATGACACCCCAAGGATATTTGTGTTCCCGGAGGACACAAAAGCTTGGAGAAGGAGAATCGTGGCCAAAGCAACAAAGTTTGGAAACTGGCAGGTGGAGGAGGGGATTTATAGCTTTCAGCTCTCTGCCAGTCCAACAGTGGGTAGGGAGGGAACATGGAGGGCAGTGTCAGGATTTGACCTTAGGATTTCTTCTGGTCCTAAACTCATCTCAGCAGCAATCAAACTGGATCTTGTGGCTGCAGCATACAGCTGATCAGATACCCTGAGCAACTACCACAGCAACAAGGGAGAGAGAAGGGGAGTTTTTATAAAAGCACTCCAATCTCCAACCCCACCCGTGGGGGGCTGGTGGATAGCAGCAGCACATCTAGGGTGGGACAAGGAAAGAATCTCTCTCCTGCTGAGATCTTCCTCCAGTAGACTCTCAAAATAGCATTCAAGAAGGCTTCACAATGTGGACATGTGTATCTGCCTCTTACGGTGACTGAAACAATGGGGAAATAAAGAGCAAGTGAGATGATAGCTAGCTAGCCTTGCAATTCTGCTAACCAGCTTTCAGGTGATAAAGGATGCTCCTTTGGTATTAAGGGCCCAGAAAAACTCATTTGAAGATAAGCTGATCCAGTCAAAGATACTGTTGCCTTGCAATAATGCAGCCATTAAGATGCTGAAATAGCTAATTGTAGCTCCTGGGAAAACCAATCAAGTTGGAAACATTGATCAAGAAGCGTTAAACAGTAAGACACTCCTTGTCTCCTAATGCTAAGGATCACCCAAGTAAACTGATTGGAATCACAACACAGAGCTCACACACAAAATTCACCACCGCAAGGCACCATGTGGGGAAATGGCTGGGGAAGCTTTTTTCAAGGCTGACACAAATCTGTCTGATAGACATGGGCAAAGCTATTAGCCAAGGAAGATGGGCTAATGTAGGTTTTCCATCTGCCTTTGGTAGCCGTCTCCCTCTGGAGAACCTGAGGCCAGGGATCAGCAATGAGGCCTCCGGACTCCTCTCTCATGCCCGGCTCGCAAGCCTGGAGAGCATGGGCTGGGTGGGCCTAATCCTGCAAGGCAAACCTGGCCGCCTTGCTTTGGGTTCGGCTTGCAAGGCTACAGCAGAAGCCGGAGAATGAAAACTCACAGCTGAGTGCCAAAGGAAAGGTTGCTATGGCAGCCCTTCTCGACATGCGGCAATTCTGACACTTGCTGGGAATTCTTACACGGCACCTTTTATGGCCAACGGAGGACTACGCCTGCTTCAAACGAGGCCTGGCCAACGTGCCGGGATGCTGCTGCTTTCTTGGCTCCATCATCCCTGGAGGCTGGCAAGCAAAGATTACAATTGCAATTTGATGACACTTCAGGACGACAGTTTCTGTCCTCGTCGCTTGCTTCCCAAACTGTTTATTTTCTAAAGCCTGATCTGCCAATAAGCAAGCTGCTAATCTCAGCGAGAGCTGAAGCAGGCACTACGCGGCTGGATGAATCACGTTTCGGAAGGTAGAGAGCCGAATGAGAATGCTTATCAAAGGGAAAATATTCTAGACTCCAGCCAGAGCAAGCACATGCGCTAGCAAGTCGCTCAGAAGGGAATAGAGACTCAGATCAAAATGTTTATAGAAGAAAACGGGAAGCAAAGAGAAGGATGCAAAATAAACAGATGTGGAGTTGCTACAGCTGCCTGAGATGCTACAGCTGCCGATCAGGGCAGACAATGCTGAGCTCAATGGGCCTGA